AAATGTATCAACAAAAACAATAAATTATAAAAAAAAATAACTTAGCCAATTTGTTTCTATGGGAACCTTGGAGGTCAAACTCAGAATAATATTTTCTTCGTGACAGGTGATGGTTGGATTCAGGATTGAGAACCAATTTTTCTCTTCACTAGTGATGATGGTTTCTACCAGAAACGGAACCAATTGCTTTACTTGATCAGGAGCGAATTTAATCGTTTCTTCGAAATTATTGAACAGGAACGGATATTTTTCTTTAATAGGAACAGGATGAATTGTTTTTTCAAAGTTGAACAGGAACGGATATAATTTTTTTAACTCGTTGACACGTTGATTTAATTAATTTTCAGCAGAGCAAAAAAAATGTGTGTGTTTCTTTAGACAACAGGAAGCACACTCTTTTTGTTGATAAATTCCGTTTTTCGGATGTTAAATTTCCAAATAACCTCTCCTGATTGGTTAAATTTATGGATTTGGAATTTGTGTCTTAGTTTTTTCAATGTAGCCAACTTTGACATTTGAAATGTCTCTAATTCAATTTGTCAAATTATTATTTAAATTTTTAAAATTATTTATAATTATGCGTGATATTTCGTAATTTTGATGCTCTTTTAAATCAATTTTCAAATATCCATTCATTTTCTTCTGATCTCAACGATAAATTTTCCAATATGTTCAAATTAATTTTGTAAATTTTCATCCAAATTTCATTATTCCATACAAATATTAATTATTTTCTTTGTTAACCAAGTTAAGTTTATCGTTCTAAATAGGTTTGATCCGGGTAGATAAAGATTTAAATAAATAATTTTGAAAAATTTAAATTGAGGTTATCTGATATCGAATCTTTAAAATTACTTCGCATCGACTTTACAAGTGATAGTTTAGGATTAGAACATTAAAGAACAATAAAATGTACCGAAATTCACTAGCGTATAGTATCTAACATTATTTTATAATTGTTTAAAAAAAACTCTTCTACGATCAATACGATAATCAAACAAGACTAAATTACTGGTAATGGGTTATTATTACAATATATTTCTTTATTAGGTGTACTGGTTGAAATTGTGGAAACATACTTATTTCATGAAATTCTTTTACCTTCTAAGATTTTACGTTTTACTATTGTTCTTAATCGTTTAAATGTGATTAAATTTTCTTGTGAATGGAGATGGCAATATCATCATTCCACCAGGGAACCCTTTTTCTAAATATATTCCCCGAAAGTACGAGGAACTGATTTTGTAGCTGCATTATTAATCATTGCGTTAAGATTCGAAATATTATCATCGATAGAGTTAGTTATAGCAGGAATAATTAGGGATAATCTATATAGATCCCAGTCAGCTTTTTTGGTACACCATTTTTTACGCAGTGAAAGAATTGGTTGAGTATTATCATCCGCGGACAGAACAATAGGGAAATGATCACTGTTGTATAAGTCATTCAATACTTCCCATGTAAATAGCATTGAGATTTGAGGAGATACAATTGATAAGTCAAGCGCAGAAAACCATTGTTTAAAAGAATTAAATTATCTTCTTCCAATAACTTTTCTATAATGGCTCCACGGGTATCTTTATTTTTAGAACCCCACAATGGATTATGAACGTTAAAATCCCCAACCAGGCATATAGGGGGTGCTAGTTGTTCAATGAGATTGTGTAGATCAGCGTTTCTCAACCTTTTTTAACTCGCGTACCCCATCATCAGTGCTCCACGTACCCCTTCTCCATGATATGCATATTATAATTACTAATATGTACATATAGGTACAGTAATAACTCTATAAGTCTATAACACTGAAATATTTTTATTTCTACCAGTTATTACAAAATAATGCATATTATATACTAATTATACACATTTAGTTAAACTAAAAAATGTAAATATGTAAGATGCACATTAATGAGAACCTTGAGGCTGTTTGGAAGCACTCAGTAATTTGAAATCTGGATCGGAAGATGATAAATATAGTCTCAGGTTCGAACTTACACTGGCAAGTCTGTTCCTGTACTTATTTTTTAAATAAGTATAGGACGAAAAAGCTCTCTCCACTAGTACGGTGCTTGTGAACGGTAACAAAATAGTTATTGCTTTGTTAAATAATTCAGGATATTCTTCTTTCAAGTCAGCCCAGATTGAAATGAGGGATTTCTTTTCAAATTCTTGCTTAAGTGAAGAATCCGTTTTCAGTTCGATCAACTTAACTTTTTCTTGAAGTGATAGAGATGCACACTCGAAATACTTTTCACTGAAAGGGTACGCAATCCAGTAATCGTCTGTTCTACGTTTGGGGAAATATTTGTCGAAAGCAGCCTTCAGTCCATTCAGATGTTGTATAATTTGCTTCTTAATTTCTAGAGATACATGAACATCCGTTTCAGAGAGAAAATCGTGTAATGTTTCAAAAACTTCAGATTGGTTTTTCTCAATACATAATTTCTAACGAAAGACTCAATTTTGACTGTAACTTGGAATACAGTTACTGCACTGTTTTGAAGGGACAAATTTATCTGGTTTAAAGATATCGGACATGTATGCAAGAATTTGAAGCCATTCATGATCATCAAATTTAAATGAAAGTCGGAAAGGGTGGTTCTCAAGGAACACTTTGACTTCATGAATAAGTTCAAACAAACGTGTAAGAACTTTACCCCGAGATAGCTATCGAACCTCAGTATGAAGGAGTAGGGTTTTGTGAATACTGCCCATTTCTTGACATAATGAAGAGAATAACCTTGAATTCGTGTGGTGGGATTTGATGAAATTGACCACTTTTACTGAATCGTCCAAAACATTTTTCATACTAGTAGGAAGGCACTTTGATGCAAGAGCTTGTCGATGAATGCAACAATGTGTCCACTGTACTAAAGGAGCTACTGCTTTGACACATCCCAGGAGACCAGAATAACAACCTGACATAGATTTACCACCGTCAGTACATAATCCACAACACTTTGACCACTTTATTCCCTTTTTAGTAAAGTAGGAATCAATGGCATGAAAAATATCTGCACCTGTCGTGCGTTCGGAAAGAAGATGACAAAGCAAAAGTCCTTCTACAAATTCATTTCCTTTCAAGTATCTTGCAATAACCATCAAAACAGCAAATTGTGCTACATCAGTACTCTCATCAACCTGAATGGAAAAATATTGACTGTGATTGATTTCCTTTATAAACGTCTCCTCGATATTATCAGAAATTTCCTTGATTCTACGAGACACAGTATCATTGGAGAGAGGAATAGCATTAATTTTCTGAACATACTCATTACCAAACATGCAAACAACTGCGTCTTTAATGCTATGCAAAATCTACACTGTAGATCATGGAACTGCTAGTCAAAATCTGGTAAATATATGTTACAAATCGTTAAAGTTTAAAGGGTACATCAATAGAAACTGCAACCGCTTGTAGGTCGGTGCCTAGGTTTAATGAATTCGCTCTGATTGTATTAGTAATCATGATGGCAGTGCCCCCTTTAGCTCTAATTTGAGATGGATGATCGTATCGAAACATATTGTAACTTTTTATAAAGTATGGTTGATTAGGTCGTAAATGAGGTTCTTGTAAGCACATGCATAAGGTGCTACAGTTCCACTGAACTATTTTAGACATTTTATTCATTGGATTGATGAAGAGGAAATAGAGGTTGATATCGGAAGGTTTGGTACAGTTAATAATGAGAGGTTGAAGGTCAGTTGAAGGATCCATAGGCAGCTTTTTAGCAATACGTTTCAAGCGTGATTTTAGTGTGGTATTTTTAACTGTTTGAATGACTCTAATTAATAGATCTTTTAAAGAGGGTAAATCTTTGCAGTATTTTAAGGCATTCGGCAAGATGTCTTGTTTGCCTTTGGATTCAGTAATAAAATTGCAGAAGTTTTCATATGAATCATCAAAAAGATCTTTAAATTTATGAAAGAATAATGGATCATTGCCAGGTTGAGTGTTAGGTTCTCCTTTCAATTTTTTTGCTTTGGGTTTTATAAATATGGCCTGTGATGATTCTAATCGGAAGCTAGAGAAATGGTATCCAAGTTGTTTTTCCTAATGTATTATTAAAATCAGATGTGGATGAAGAATAGCGTTTTCTTTTGTGTTAATTGTTGTTTCTTGTATAATATTTGTGTTAATTACAGGAAGCGTTGGTTCAGTAGATGAGGTTGATGTAAGATCAATAAGATCATTTTCGTTTTTTGACACGCATTTACTAGCGATATGACCAAATTATTTACAGGTAAAGCAGCGAATGTCACCAATGGCTAAAAAAATTCTAAAAGAAAGCTCTTTATGCTCTATTAAGATAAAAGATGGTAATGCGTTATTTTCATCAGGTACAATATAAACTTGACAGGACCGGACGCAACAAATCTATTAAAATCCTCATTTAACTCATTTGCTTCGAGCTAAGAGTGCTGCTAGTGCACCCCATTCGAATAGTAAACTATTGATTTCTAGACGAATATGGCTTGGAATTAATAAACCAACAATACAAAGAACCGTTAAATGTAAACAAAATAAACTACCATAAATTTTACTTAATCTCAAGAGAGAAAAATACCCTCACAGTGTGTTGTTTACTCGATGTTTCAAACATTGATTCGGTATAAAACACTGGAAAATAGTTCAGAAAAGTCGCAGTAGAAATAAGAAATACGAGAAAGAAAAAGGAATGAATCGAAGGCGCAAATTCAGAAGTCTTGGATTAGAGGGATGTTTGGAAATTCCGGAAACGTTTTAACGGGCCGACCAGAAAAAGGCGAAAAAGTTGGCGCACGTCGCGTTGATTGGAATCGAGGCAAGGGCCAAATAAACAAGATTAAAAAGGTGCCCACTTCCAGTTTCCTGCTCTCGCTCACGGATCCGGAATTATCTTATAATTAAAGGGTCTCGGAATTAATGGACGGCGGTTCCGCCGGATCATGACGAATCAAATTGAGCGAGAACTTGACTAATTGGTTTAAGAAATATTTTTGTAAGAAAAAAAAATAAAAACTTTTAAAACTTGCATTTATTTAATCATATTTTTGGTACAAAATCAATTTTTTTTTTATAAAAATCATTTTAATTCGAAATAATCGTCGAAAACTCCGTGAATTTCTGGAATCATATCCGAAGCGGTCATACTTCTTCCAAATTTTTTAAATGCTCTACTATTACATTCCCTGATTAATTTGCATGCTGAGTAACAAGCAATCATAGGTCGATCATCGTGAGGAACATCAACATCTAATTTATGTTGTAACGCCCATGTGAAAAATACTGCTAAAGATCCACCTAATAAGTCTCCTTGCCCCCCACATCTCCTTCCAGAACCCCCTAACGAAAGTTTAACAGTTTTCGAATTATCTATAAGAATGTCTTGTTCTCCTTTACAAAGTAAAGTAACGTTTGGTCCCCAAGATTCAAATAATCTCTTTGCGTCCTCCTCTTTAATACTTTTTGGGTTATCAGATCCGAGTAATCTGGCGAATTCCATGATGTTCGGTGTTAAAATTGCGCCAGGTGTGGGGTAATTATTTAAAATGCTAGGTTCTTTACTTATTAAAAATAACCCGTCAGCGTCGATTACCAAAGGTTTACACTTTTCTTTCCCAATCTCGATGATTTCTTTGATTACCTCAAAGATTGCATCTTCGCGACCCAAACCCGGTCCGATTAATAAAACATGTAATCTGTCCAACCAAGGTTTTATTTTATTTACGGCATCTTCAGAATCCAAAAGGGGGTGTACAATTAATTCGGGACTGTAAGATTTTATTACGGTGGCCGCTTCTTTCGAACAGAAAACGTGAACCAAATCCGCGCCGACTTTTAATCCGGAAATAGCGGAGAAATAAGGGGCTCCTGTATATTCCAAAGAACCACCAAAAATTCCTATTCTACCGGCTTGACCTTTATGTCGCCCTTGAGATAGAGATGGCGCTAATTGTCTAGACATCAACGAGAGACTCATTTCATCCATTTTTGACGATTTATTCGTTTTACACTCACTAATACTTAAATTGGAATGTTTTGTATGTAATTTACACTGCAAATGCTTTAAAGGGTCACGGAAACACTTTATAATTGAGGTTTTTCGAGGAACGCACAACAATGTCATGACAGTTTTACTCCCCACACCGAACTATTGCGCCACCTCTGTGTTTAAAAGGAAGTTATTTATAGATTTAATTTAATATTTTTAATTAATTTAATATTTTTAATTAATTTATTATTTATTATCTAATTTTATTTATCTTACAAGTTAAAAATGCACACACATCATGATATGTTACATTATAAAAAAACTTATTTCCTATAAATAGGTACTTAATAAAGTGAGGTTAAGACTAATAAAAAGTTACGTTTTCTTGTCTCGATCTTTTAGTAGTTTAGGATGATATCATAAAGTCTCTTTATCACAGCATGTCACTCTGGAATGTTTCAACTTTTTTATAATCAAGATTTAAGCCGGTCCAATATCCTCCCATTTCTCCATTAATTTTAAGTCAACGTTTTCAAACCTCCATCGTTGCGTTTTTGATCCCGTATCGCATTTAGTTACGTAAATTTTCTTCGTACCTGGATCGCAATCCAAACAACGGGGATTCCCACCATGTACCAACCATTGTTTATCCTCAAAATGAAGCATTTTAAGAAAATAATGATTATTAGTTTACAAGAAAAATCTCGAAGAATGTGATTTTTTTTTATAATGTAGAATCTTAAGCTGATTTTAAAACTGTCTTTAGTTTTTCCCCATCACGTCCTGTTTTTGAGATATTTCCTAAAATGTGGAAAATTATCGTACCGGAAAAAGTATGCAACCAATATCACAGATTGGTATTGAAACGTGTCGAAAGTTACTAAAAATTTTATCAAAACTAAAAAAAACTAAGTTATTTTTCAAAACGGGTTGGTTCATTGGAAAGAAAATACTTTTATTAACACTTTCGGAAATTTTCAAACTCATATTCCAAGAAGTGGATTATCTCAGAGTTTCCTAAATCAAGAAATTTCACACCATCTATTAACAAAATACCATCGGCCTCATACTCTGCCGTTATTACTTCCGTTGATCTTGAACTTAAAGATCAAGAAATTAGCGAATATCTGAACTCGCTTAATATATCACACAGATACTGTAAAAGAATTATCTCAAAAGCCACAGATAAGCCCACCTATAAAATTAGGATAATTTCCGGGTGTGTCGACTCCTATCAAAAGCTTCTGCAAGCGAGAGTATTTTTCAAAAACAACCACTTTCCAGTGTTTGAAAGTCGCGCTCCACCGCCAATGCCGATTCTGTGTAGATGCTATGAATTTTCCCACATCTCTGACAAATGCACTGATACAGTGCAGTGCACAAAATGTCTGGGCCCACACAGTACTACAAAATGCACCTCGTAATTACCAGAGAAATGCAAATCTTGTGGCCTGGAAGGTTGTAGTGCTTGGTCACTCAAGTATAAGAACCGTCCCAAAGCATACAAGGCGTCCCTAACGTCAGAATAAAATCAGCAAACAAAAAAACGAATCAAATAATGTCTGGAATTACTAAAGAAACACGTATACACAAGCCAATCACTATACATGATCACATAATTGATACCTATCTATCAAAAATCAATTCTCCTAAACCACGGGATGGCCAAGAGCTCATAAATTCCCTCAAGCGCAAATTCATAGAACATCATCTATATGTATATCATCATGATTAATCTTGAAGATACTTCTGAGACTTCCCCAACCGAACCAATCCTCGATTTTACAAGACCAACAATATCTAGCATAAAATTATTATATGCAAACATCAATAGTTACCATCCGAAATCACAACTAATTGGAAACAAGGGTAATATTGTTAATTGCGGAGCAGCGGTTATGGGCCACCCCATCCTACAATTAGGAAAGTCAAATCGTCCAAGTATCAACTCGCCATTGAATAATGCACTCCACTTCACCGTTATGCTTGGCGCGAATAGACTACACATATTCCTGATTTACATCCATCCGTTCAGCTAAATTGAAGAGTCAATATTTAACATAGCTGCTTAATAATCGGAGAGTTTAACCCAAATCCAACTAAAAAAAGACACATCAGTCAATTCAAATTTTGTACAAATCAAGACACCTCTACTCCAAGAACTCTACTCCAGACTTGCTTTTTTGCACAAGAAAAATGAGACATCAAATCACCCTAGTAGAGGTCATTCCTGATCTGTGCCCCGACCACCTGCGTATTCTTGTTCACATCAAAGTTATCTAAACCTGCTCCAACTATAACTAAAAATTACAAACTTTGCAACATGGAGAGAATCAACTCAGCAATGAAAGACTTCATAAGAGCAGATCCTGGAATTACACCGGAGGTGATATCAAAGTTTAGACGACGGCTGTACCGAGACTTTAGAGCATGCGAGATTCCTAAACTGAAAAAAAGTTTAACGATCAATTCATGTAAGGGGAAAAATTATTGGCAGGAAGGTCGTAAACTGTCTAGATACCAAAAGCTGACTACCTGGAAGGAATATTTTCCTTTGCTGAGGATGCCTCATTTTGTTGAACAAAAGCACAATAGATAACTGGTATCAACTTGCTTTTATAAATCCCTCTGAAACACCTGAGGATGCTATTATGCTGGAGGACGAGTATTTCACTCTTCTAGGCCAAGGAAAAAACACGGTTCCTGGTTATGATAACATCTCGAGGAGGGTGTTGAGAAGCTTGGACCTTGATATTCACTCCTACATCAGGGAAATAATTAACTTCTGCCTCATGACTCAACATTTTCCACGAGACTGGAGGATCTCTATCATAATCTGCGTCCCCAAGAAGGATTCAGTGATAGGAAAGCTTTTCGAGACACATCTCAAGAACAAGCTCCTGGGTGTCGTCTCAAAGAACATCCCACCCTACCAATTTGGAATCCAACCCGGCAAATCCACCCAGCCACTTACGGTTTCCAACTTTCAAGCGGCACGCTATCAAAAATGTAAATCCGCGGCTGTATTTTTGGATGTCCGAAAGGCTTTCGACTCAGTCTGGCACAAAGGCCTACTATTCAAACTGGATAAGTTAAATGTTCCATATTACCTCCTAAACTTGATAAGGCAATTCCTTTCAGATCGCTCTTGTTTTGTGAAGCTGAAAAACCATCACTCCCGCAGTTTCACCATCCAACAAGGCCTCTCGCAGGGATCTCCCATCTCTCCTGTACAACATCTCCTACTCTACTCTACGCCGATGACACAACACTGATTTCGCACGACAGGGACGTTGCCTCTTCGGTCCGAAAACTACGGGGAAAAAAACGATGAAACAGAGAGCTGGTACCGAAAATGGCGCATTCAAATCAACTCCTCATAACCGCAATTCTTCATCCCTCCTCCCAGTCCACGCCCCTTCTCCTACAATCACAGTCCAATCAACTCCCTTCTCAGTCTCACCAACTTGCAAATACCTAGGCATAACACTCGACGGAATTCTAAAATTCTCTGCCCACGCCATCAAAGTGAAGATGAAAGATGAATTTCCACAAAATGTGCCTCGTACATTTACAAATCCACATGCAGACCAATTCTATACTTCTAAACGACGCGCCTAGAACATCAAGACACCATTTAGAAGTCGCAGAAAGAGCGGCATTGAGGTCCATAATACGAATAAGGAATCCCAAAAATCTTCTTTTCAACCCTAGCAATGATCTCCTACATAACCTCACTAATATCTCTCCCATTAACTTCCGTCTACAATCTTAAAACTACTCTAAATTTCCCTACCAATCTTCTCCACCATATGCTCATTATCCCTAGAGTAATCCACCCATCTGACAGCACACCACTCCTTCAAAAACTGTTGATGAGACTGAAACTGCTGCTAACTAGAACTTGCATGGGCAGAAACACTCCGGTCGATAGCCCTATTTTTGGCTGAGTTTTAATTTATATACTCCTTTTTTTAATTTAATTGTATTTTTTGCATCCAAAAAAAAATTTATTTCTCAAAAACTAAAAGCGATTTTTTAAAACGGCTTGTTGCATTAAAAAGAGGATACTTTTATTAATAATTAATGATATTTCCACAAGGATCCTTCAAGAAATTAATTTAATAGCGAATTTTGAAAATTATCGATGAAAGTTGCAACATCAAAAATTTTATCAAAACTTCAAATATTGTTTTCTCAAAAAGTAAAAGTTATTTTTCAAAATGGGTTGGTTCATTGGAAAGAAGACACTTTTATTAACACTTTGGGAAATTTTCAAACTCATATTCCAAGAATTGGATTTTATACGAATTTTTAAAATTTAATCGGCGAAAATTGCAAAAAATTATCGATCATTTCAAAAATTTTTTTCTCAAAAACTAAGTAAGATTTTTCAAAACGGCTTTTTGCATTAAAAAGAGGATACTTTAATTAATAATTGGTAAATATTTCTACAAGGATCCTTCAAGAAATTAATTTTATAGCGAATTTTGAAAATTATCGATTAAAATTGCAACATCGAAAATTTTATCAAAACTTCAAATATTGTTTTCTCAAAAACTAAAAGCTATTTTTCAAAACGGGTTGGTTCATTGGAAAGAGGACACTCTTATTAACACTTTGGGAAATTTTTAAACTCATATTCCAAGAACTGGATTTTATACAAATTTTTAAAACTTAATCGGCGAAAATTGCAAAAAATTATCGATCATTTCAAAAATTTTTTTCTCAAAAACTAAGTAAGATTTTTCAAAACGGCTTTTTGCATTAAAAAGAGGATACCTTAATTAATAAGCGAAAGTGATAACAGCGACAGTTCTGTTAGTAATGAATGTGATGATGAATTACAAGCGAAGAGAAGAAAACTAGACGAAATTGTAACAAAGGATTTTATATATCTATTGGAATTGTTACAATGAGGTTGCTAATGACAAACCTGATATAAATAAAGTTGTAAATGACCGGATAGTTGCCAGATATCCATTCCACCACTAGTAATAATGTTTTAACAATGAAGTTAAAATGGCAAAAAATGAAATTTTGCACGATCGTCGTAAATTAACGATATCTCCGTTAAAATACGTTCGACCATGGTGTACAATGCTTCGATATTTAGAGAATTAAATGTTCTACAGGATAGAGTAGCTATTTTTTTGTTCATGCATAATTCTTTTTCATTACGGTATAATTAAGTGAAAAAAAAAATGGGAATTGTTTTTGTTGAGTAGCAAAATAGCGGAGAATCTGATTTATGCCATGAATATTTCAAAATTTTCGTTTGGATCTCTACTTTCATGTCCATATAGCTACAAAACCACAGTATGTTAAATACTATATACTGAACATAAACCGTTACTAAATTTTTAAATTTACGATTTTCCACATTTTTGGGATATCTCGAAAACTGGACGTGATGGAGAAAAATTGAAGACATTCAAGTTCAACATTCTACTTTATAAAAAAAATCGCAGTCTTCGAGGAAAAAATTAATTAAAATTTTTAATTAATGGTACTTACAACATCGTATCTCCAATATTGATTACCTTTTCCACCATGACATGGATATAAAACGATTTGGGCTTTATCATTTGGATCAGAAACATCCCAACAAAGTGTTTTTCCTTTCATACGGATGTCTTTGTGCCATGTTAACGTGAAGTTTTGCTCGCCTTCTTTCGAGGTGCCTTTTATGCAATCTCTTAAACCAAACGGTTGGTCTCTTTGTTTATAATAAGCGTCAACGCATAAATCGGGGGCTGCAATGTTTCTTATTTCCCCAGACGCAAAATCGTCCGGTTCAATTGGTGGATATTTTAGTGGTAAATCAAAAGCGATCGTTTCCATAAACCATTTAAAAGTTTTACATTTTAGACGATCTCGAATCGCCTTTTCTTTAGTTAAATCACCCGGATCTAATTTGCGATAATGCGGACGCCGTTTGTAAATAAATTCGGCGTATTCGTCCATCCAAACTTCAGCCACTCTTTTATAATTCCTCCCCACAAAATCTCCTTTCCCCGGATTTGGAAATGGGGCGTATTTGCGGTAAATATGTCCTACCCTTGAGCATGGCGCGTCGTACATTTGACCCCCACACATCCAAATTTTAAAACTTAACTCATATTGTTCACCACCCCAAATATCTAAACCTTCATCATAACCTCCTAATTCCCAAAAGAATTTTTGACTTATTGCAAATAACCCACCAGCCATAACAGGACTCCTAAATAAAATTTTAAATATTAATTATTAAGAAAGATAATCAAGATTTAACGCACTCGAAAGGTTCTGTTGGGCGCTCTAAATCCTCAGGGCGTAAAGGTAATCTTTTATAATACAATTCCCAGTCAAAAGCACCTCTTGCACCTTCATCTTGAGCTCTATACTCAAAAGTTTCGTATTGAACGACATCAATAAACGGACAAACACAAGTTTTATAGTTTTGGGCGATCGGTTCTAAAATAATTTATTAATTAACAAATATTAAATAGCTAAATACAACTATACCTAATAAAGGTGGTAACCAATTAACATTAGCCTCCGTATGAGAATCTAAAAACACTAAAACATCTCCAACAGCTTCTTTAGCCCCCGCCAAACGTGCCCGAATTAATCCACTTCGTTCACTCAAATGGATAACGCGAGTTTTAGTTGCATTCACCAATAAATAATCATCCAAAGGTTTCTTGCTAAATTCTTTCGAACTGAAATCGTCAACTAAGATGATTTCTTTTAATAAATTATGAGGAGATCGATTTAAAACGCTGTGAACGGTTCGTAAAAGTGTCGTCCAATGTTCGTTGTGAAACGGGACAATTACGCTAACGGTTGGAAGTTCTTTTAAGTATTTTTTCTTTTTACAGCTAATAACAAAAAAGTTAATTAATTAATTAATCAATAAAAATGTTGAAGTAACAAACCCTTTGTGTCTAATATCGGGAATGGCTCTATCTAAAGCTATTTGGTCACTTAGGGCAGCGTTAAATCCATTCACTTTGAAAAGTTTATCGTAATTGGGAATGTTTTGAGGATTTTTAACCTCTTTTCCTTGTTCTCCGATTCCTGTACGTTTTTTATCTTTTTCTATTAAATCATAGTTGTGCCAATCAATTTTTTCATTGGAAATCTAAAATTAATGTCAAAAAATATTAATTTAAATTAATTTGCTGTTAAAATGTGGTTAAAAAATAAACATCAAAACGTGTTTGTGGTTTAGTTTTAAAATCATATGGCTAATAGCGCCATCTATAGAGTAAAATTGTTGTCAAAAAATAACTGTGAAGTTAGTAGTTAAAAAAAAATTAAATAGTTGTCAAAAAATATATTTTGTTGTTGTTTGTAGAAAAAAGTGAAAAACCTGTGTTTATGAGTTTCTTTGATTAAATAATCAAGCAAAATCAACAGGTTATGGGCCCAGGACCATATTGAATTGCGTGTGAGTGATTTATTTATGAATATTGGACATGGAAGCAGGCACAGCTTTTGTTGGTGTCACAAAGAATAAATTTAATGCTACAGGAAAACGAAATTCAGGATTAAGTAAAAGAAAAGTGTAGAATTACTTAGCCAATTCAACAATAAAGAGTTGTTTGAGATTTAGTTTTAAAATCAAATCACAAAAAACACATAGCTAATAGCGTCATCTATAGAGTAAAATTGTGGTTAAAAAATAACTGTGAAGTTAGTAGTTAAGAAAAAAAATTAAATAGTTGTCAAAAATTATATTTTGTTGTTGTCATTTCCAGAAAAAAGTAAAAAACGTTTAGAAAAACCTTTGTTTATGAGTTTTTTTAATTAAATAATCAAGCAAGATCAACAGGTTATGGGCCCAGGACCATATTGAACTGCGTATGAGTGATTTATTTATGAATATTGGACATGGATGCAGGTACAGCTTTTGCTGGTGTCACAAAGAATAAATTTAATGCTACAAGAAAACGAAATTCAGGATTAAGTAAAAGAAAAGTGTAGGATTACTTAGCCAATTCAACAATAAAGAATTGTTTGTGATTTAGTTTTAAAATCACATACCTCATAGCGCCATCTATAGAGTAAAATTGTTGTCAAAAAATGACTGTGAAGTGAGTAGTTAAAAAAAAAAGTTAAATAGTTGTCAAAAATATATTTTGTTGTTGTCGTTTGCAGAAAAAAGTAAAAAAACGTTTAGAAAAACCTTTGTTTATGAGTTTCTTTGATTAAATAATCAAGCAAGATCAACAGATTATGGGCCCAGGACCATATTGAACTGCGTGTGAGTGATTTATTTATAAATATTGGACATGGAAGCAGGTACAGCTTTTGATGCTGTCACAAAGAATAAATTTAATGCTACAGGAAAAAGAAATCCAGGATTAAGTAAAAGAAAAGACTTAAAGGATATAAAATGTTTCGGATGTAAGCAAATGGGGCATTATAAAAACAAGTGTCTGAACAAAGAAAACAAGAAAATGGCAAAAAAATCAAATGCTTTCAATGCTACGTTTGTAAATAGAAAGTTCACAGACAGCGACTGGTATATAGATTTTGTACAATGATTTGGTTGGCGAAATAAAATGTATAACAATATATAATGACAACCAAAGTGCACAAAAATTATCTCTAAATCCAGTACATCACAAACGAACCAAACATATCGATGGGAAATATCATTTTATTAGAAATGAAATTGAAAATGAAGAGGTGCAGATTCAATACATGCATACCAATGAAATGATGGCAAATATTTTAACCAATTCACTGAACAGATGCAAGTAAAAGAAGTTTATAGAAGATTTGATTCCTCAAACAAGTTTAGATGTAGTTAAAAATAGAACAAGTTTAAAATGTGGTTAAAAATAAACATCAAAACTTGTTTGTGATTTAGTTTTGACAAAATAAAAAATGACGTGTCTTATAGCGCCATCTATAGAGTAAAATTGTTGTCAAAAAAACTGAGTTAAAAAAAGTAGTTGTCAAAAAATATATTTTATTGTTGTTATGTGCAGAAAAATGTAAAAAAACGTTTAGAAAACACTTTGTTTATGAGTTATTTTTTAAACTAGCACCATGTATTACAAAAACGTAATCAAACCTTTTTTATTAATTAATTTAGATAAAATTATTAAAAAAAAGTATTCTGTAATTTAACTTAATCCTCCTTCAAAACTGAAATTGATGGATTAATATCATAATTGTTACCTAACACTTTATTAAAACCAAATTTTAATTATCAAATTAAATGTTAAAAGGAAATGTTAAACCACAAAGCAATAAATTTAAGATATTTTCTAATCTACTTAATTAAAAAAAAAATGTCAAAAATGATAACAAAAAATCTTACCAATGGAGGGAATGGAAATTTTGACTCAATAAGAGCTTGCGGAGCTGGTACAACATCAACATATTTAATACTTTTGTGCCCTCTTATAGTCCGATAAATAAGTACTGTAAATATCACAGTTGCAAATGATATAAATGCAAATTTTAGCATGCTCCTCAAGTTCCGTTTTATCATAACCATTTTTGCGTTATATCAATTGAATAACATTGCCTAAAAATCAAAAAAATTATAAGAAAACCTGAAAAAACCACCACAAACGACCTAACCTATAAACGCGTCCCCTTGACGTTGCAAACGAACTAACATAGCTTTTAGAACGGTTTCCACACTGATAACGAAAGCGTTATCAATGAAAATTTCACTATTTAAAAAATGTTTAACGTTAAAACGCGTTGTTCTTTACATAAAAAGCGGAGTGACATTTCTCGTTTGACAAAATCGTACAAATTGATATAAACGATATTAATTTTATTGAAATAGCTATTTAGATATGCATGTTATAGAAATTAATATAAATTAATTAAGATTATGGCGTTTAAAAAATTGGTTGTACCAAAATTGTTTTTAAAGTGCAAAGTGGAAATTACCCGAAATTCAATTAGCAAATAAGATTTTTATCTTACCCAAGGACGTGTTATTCTCGTTGTTACACAAAACAACATTAAATTTTACTTAAAATGATTCATTTTAGCTTTTTTTTGGCAAATAAAACTCCATGAAGATCGAGTTGACAGATGACATAACCTTACTTTTTAAATTGAGGTTATGTTTAACATCATTAAATATTTATGAATAATTTCAAAGTTTTTAATTCATTTTTTGTTAAAGAAAGCACAAATTGGATTAGTATTGCTTTAATTTTAACACAGCATCTAAAGAATGTTAACCTTGAAATATTTTTAATATGCAAAACATTCTTATCAGTAACAGTTTACTTAATATTTTATGAAAGTTATTAACAATACAAGATTTTTTTTTAATGAGTGTATTGAAATAAAAATGCAGAAGGTGTTCTTATCGGAATTAAAGTGGTTGCTCCATCAATATTACGCACAACCCAATATTCTCTTCCATTAATAGTTTTAGTTTGTGCTTTTGGTGTATGAGGAAAAGGAGGTGTAAATAAAGCGTGATACGGTGGGGGTGGTGGAGAAAATTGATTTTGATTTTCGTTTCCAAGTGTTGTTAATTTTTTGTTGATTGTTGTAAATAATTTTTCTGGATTTTTATCTAATTTTCCTTTATGGATGCATTTAAAATAAACTTGTTCTCCTGTAAAAACGATGGTTGAGATAACAAATCCACCAACAACTATGTAATAAGTCATTAATAAGTCAGTGTTTTGCAATTTTCGTTCTTTACTGCCCAAATCTAATGGACAAATTTGGGTGTCAGGTAATCCAGAACTTAAAGTGTATTTTACAATCCCTGATTCAACCAAATGTTCCAAACTAAAAAATATATGACAGTGACATTTATGGGAATCAATAAAAAGCTCACATATTATTAAAAAGGTCGGCGAATTCAAAGTTTAATGAATACCCGAAAGCTCTGAGAGTATCAGTTATAGTCCAAGTTGTTATTACATAAGTACATCGATCTGCTTCCGTCATATTTGGGAAATTTCTCGATAAATAATCTCGATACATTAAATGCTCAACGATCGGTTTTTCACCAATGTACATATAATTATTTCGTTTAACCCAATTCTCAAGGATATTAGTTGCATTTTCCACTAAATATTCATTTCTAGAGCCCCTTATTCCTGCTTTAAAGACTGGATCCTACAAGAAAATCATTAAATTTATTTATTTTTTAACATTTACTTACATTAAGTGCTGCTTCTTCAATTGCATTTCCTTTATGTGTTACCCAAGAATATTTTTTATCCCCAATATCGCTTAATTTATTAATAGGCAAAGTAAATTTTGAGAGAGTTAAAAACGCCGTTAAATTAGCCGTGTAAAAAGCGGTTAAAATCGTTATAAAAATCCACCAAGTCGAAAATAAAATCCTAGATGAATCTTAAAAAAGAAAATTAATGTTAATAATAATAATAACGTTGTTTATTAGAATTTTTTACCTGTCATCGGAGATAAAGTACTTCCTTGTTTTAATAAAGCCCCATAAACGAACCAAACGCACGCGGGAAGCGGATAAACTTTAGTTTCGTCGTCTTTGCAAAGATGCGCTTGAAGTAAAATGATTCCGTAAATAATTGGACCAACGAGAAATAAAGAAACGAGAATTAAAAGCCAAACTTGAAACGTAAACGGGGCTAAAAGACCGGATCCTGTTGCGGAAACTGGGGGTCTTTTCATCAAAACCACCCATTCGCCTTTATCTAAACTGCGAGAATAACGAATGTATTTCCAAAAATTTGGAAAAACTGGTAAAAAAGCCGCTGCTAAATCAACTTCCTAAAAGAAATAAATTAAAGTGTCATTTTAAACGTTAAATTGGCACTTTTTAAACGTCAAAATGACATTTAACGTCAAAATGACATTTAATGTCAAAATGATATTTAACGTCAAAATTAAATTATGTAATTTTAAAATGTTTTTTTTTTAAATAATGAATGATTTGACCTAAAAAAACGATTATTCATGAAGAAAAATGGTATGAAATTGATTTATTGTTGGTAGGTAGTAATTTATTTTCGACGTTATGGGTGATTAAATTCTTTTTGTTCTTTCTAAAAATTTACGTTTCGGTTGAGCATTCCTATAATTCCGTTTTGAGTGACGTCCAAACTTTCTTCGGCGGGGATTACAACTTCATATTTGAACCCAATTTTTTCCTGCAGGATATGAATGTATTCAAAAGCGATTCCATCGCCGATAATTGTTCCATTTTCAACGTAAAAGGAGCTTAGCGGAGGATTCTAAAAGAATTATTTTTAATTTTTTTAATTACAATTTAAATAAGTTACATAAAGAGTTGCAATTTTTAGCGTTTTATTTCGAAGGTGTTTCGATTGGTTTTCCAAAATTAACTTTTTTTCATGTGAGATATCTATAAATAAATTAATTTTTTAAATGAATATGTAATTTCCACTTTTTTTTACCAATTACTGGATCCCCTGGACATGAAATGTTTGCACATAAAGTTAATAAAACTACATCAACCAACCCCATATTATTAACATCAACGTTTTCAATTTGACATCAAAGAACAGACTGAAATGATGAACGATGAAAATGTTTCAACCCCTTAATAAACGCAATTCTTTTGCGCACAAACACCGTGAAAACATCGCGTGACTTTTCCTCATTTCCACTAATGTTGAAAAAACATTTTTCGAACACTGTTATATTTAATGCAACTTTAATCGTGGAAAATAAATAATATATACAAGAAAATTTTGAAATAATAAAATGAATTAAAATATTGTTTCACCTCGATACGCTTAAATCATTATATTTGAACCAATAAAATGATAGCAAACACATTAATATGGGGGTTCTAGGGGAATAAAATATGAGGTTAAAGTGTGTTTTGTTTGTTTAATCGATTTTATATAAGTTTTGAATAATTTGTAGTAAGTAAAGGAAGGAAATATCCTTTTAAGTAATCAAAATCATATTGAAGAAAATTCGTTTGGGATAATATTTAGACGTTTTTATATCTGCTTAATAATTTATTATCAAGCTGATAAAGAAAGAAATAGCCAAAGAACTAATCTACTGTATTTTCTGAAATCTTTGGCAAGACTTCTAACTGCAAGTCCTAATTCTCCAGCAAAGTAACCCAAACAAAGCACAAAGTCCACAACAGACTAGTATGAAGTCTTCAGATGCACGGCTAAACTCGAAACTTTCTAGTTATCGGTCTAGTGTTAGTTCTAGTTTTACACTAGACTATCAGTAGAACTAACATAAGACCTAGAACTAGAATCATTCGGGTTTAGCCGTCTTGAGAGATGTGCGGCTAAACACGAATGATTCTAGTTCTTGGTCTAGTGTTAATTCTAGTTTTACACTAGACTATCAGTAGAACTAACACAAGACCTAGAACTAGAATCATTCGGGTTTAGCCGTCTTGAGAGACGTGCGGCTAAACCCGAATAATTCTACTTCTTGGTCTAGTGTTAGTTCTAGTTTTACACTAGCACTAGAACTAGCGCAAGACCTAGAACTAGAATCATTCAGGTTTAGCCATCTTGAGAGACGTACGGCTAAACCCAAATAATTCTACTTCTTGGTCTAGTGTTAGTTCTAATTTTACACTAGCACTAGAACTAGCACAAAACCTAGAACTAGAATCATTCGGATTTAGCCGTCTTGAGAGACGTGCGGCTAAACCCGAATGTTTCTAGTTCTCGAGCTTCCATAAGCTGGAACTTATTTGAGAGAGCTTATGGAACACATGAACCTAAACCACTTCGTGTACTCCTTAATCCATTACAAGTTGACCAGAAACTATGAAAATAATCAACATTATACGGTTTTTTATACTCCTCACATAGTAACGTCAAAATGACATTAAACGTCAAAGTGACATTTACAAAAGTCAATTTATTTTATCTATAATCATTTTATTTAATCATTTTAGTTTCATCTTAAGAATGTTTCTAATTTCAAAATTGATTATTGTTAAACTATTATAAATATATTCAAGCAAAATTTAAAATTAAAAATATTTGAATTTAAATGTAACATAACCCTACTTTTAAACGTCAATTTTTAGTAACCTCACTTTTATATTCCTTATTTACAAATTAATCTAAAATTGTGATCCTATCTACACTTAAATCTAAAAATGGATGATATTTTATACAAGAAATTATCATCTTTAACTGAAATATCGAAAAATCAACTTTTAAATGTGTTAAATTTTCATTCTGGACCGAAAGATTTAATTATACAGTCGGATATAATTAAGCCTTTAGAACGGATTTGTGGTGCGATTTGGTTAAAGTAATCACAACTATATAAATATATTGATTTATTCATCATTTTCGTTGTTTTATTTAATTTAATTTTATTTTAGAGGGAATGGAATTGATAAAATCTTTAAGTTGGAAAATAACATTCCAAGAAATTCGACGAACGCTCAATATTATATGATTTATTCTAATTGGAATGTTTTTAATCAAGTTGTTGGTTTAATTAAGAATCAAATTGGTTTGGAGAATCATCCTAAAGGAAAATTCCACATAATATGTATTCCACAAGCTTTATACAGTTTCGAACAAAAATTAGAAGAGGAAGGTTTGTATGAAACCGTAATAAGATTGTATTCGTTACAATGGCAACCTATTCATATCGATAAAGGCATTTTAAGTTTAGAAATACCAGATATGTTTAAAAATTTATTTGTACAACAAGATTTATCGTTATTACAATGTTATGGAAAAACTTTAAGACATTTATATTTCGTTGTTGGCAAACCAAAGTTATCAATAGCTTTAGGGTCGAACGCATTAAACATTTTAAAACAACTTGATTTATTAAACGAAGATTTAGGTGAAACTGATAAAATAGAAAGTGAATTTGGTTGTGTTATTCTTTTAGATAGAAATGTAGATTATACAAGCACTTTATTAACACCTAGAACTTACACTGCTTTATTAAAAGAGATTTACAATGTAAAATGTGGAGTTTGTGAACACAAACAAGCCGAAATCGAAAAGTATGATAATAAACTTAATGTTAGAGTAGAAAAAAATCCGGTTTTAATTAACTTTGATAGTAAACGAGACACTGTTTATAATAACATAAAAAATCGTTTTTTTACTGAAGTTACAGCCAATTTAAGTTTGTTAATAAAACAATTAAAGTCTGAAAGCGATACATCCAAAGAAATGGCTTTAGATGAATTGAAACGTTACGTTCAAACTCAATTAAAACAGGTTACATCAAAAAAGTCTTTAATTGCCAATCATATGAATGCTGCTGAAACGATTATTAACGTTTTAGGAAATCGGTTTGAAAAACTACAAGAATTCGAATTGTGTATCATGCAAAATAAAAGTAAATCAAGGAATTATGCTTATTTAACGGAAAGTTTGTTAGAAAATGATAAATTGTTTTCGTTTCGTTTATTTTTGTTGTTATGTTTGACGCAGAAATTATCCGATTCGGATGTAACCAAGTTTCTAACGAAATTTTTTCATGAGTTTGGGTTTAAATACGGGTTTTTATACAATAACCTATTAAAAATGAACTTTATTGATCAAGAACAATCGAGTTTACAAAATAAATTAATGAAATTACCTAATTTATTTAACAATAGTTTTTACCAATCCGCTATTAATATGAAATTGATTCCTCAACAACCAGAAAAAGTTGATGTTAAACATCCGACTTGTGTCAGTTATGTTTTTGGGGGTGTTTATATTCCTTTAGCAGTTCAATTAATTGGATCTATTTTAAGTACAACCCCTCTTAAAGAAATTGAGAATAAACTTCAACAATTTGGACCTTTTTCTATAACAAACGACATTGGATATCCTTTAACTACCAAAACGGTTTTGTTATATGTTATTGGAGGTGTTAGTTATGCAGAAATTGCTGCCTGTAATTTATTGGAGAGTTTAACTGGTTCTAGAATAGTTGTAATGAGTGACCAAGTTATTTCTGGTAATGATATAGCTGATAGTATTCTTCATTCAATTATACCATAACAAAATTGTTTATGTTTAAATATTTTTATTATTACTAAAATAAAGATTTAATCATTGAATTATTGAATTTTTATTATTGTTAGGTTATCCAACTTGACTCGGTTACCATGGTGATTAAGATCCAAATATTGCAGGTGCTTGTCAAAATTGAATTTAAGTTTTTTTAAGGAAAAAGTTGTATTTAATTGGTTTAAAAGGCTCTATTTAAATCAAAATTGGTTTATCTAAATCTAGGGTATTATAAACAAGGTAAGTGGATTAAATCAAAAAAAGATATTTTTAATTTATTTCTCTTAATTAGAATCGATTTAAATTAACTACAATTAACGAATTTGTTATGAATGCGAGATAATCGTAAAGAATTCGAATTGTTTTAAAATTAATAAAAATTAGGTTAGAATTGATAAAAATATCGGAATAAAATTTTTTTATTTTAAGGTTATCCAACTTGACTCGGTTGCCATGGTGATTAAGATCCAAATATTGAGTTGCTTGTCAAAATTGACGTTGAATTTAAGTTTTTTTTAATGAAAAACATAATTAATTGGATTTAAAGGTTGTATTTAATTCAAAATGGGTAAATGGATGAAATTATAAGCAAGGTAAGTGGATTAAATCAAAAAAAAATGTTTTTAGATCAATTAAAATGTACAAGAATTTAGGGTTAAATAACAACTAAAACTAGAACTAACACTAGACCGAGAACTAGAAAGTTTTAGGTTTAGCCGAACTTAGAAAAGTCTGAAGACGCACGGCTAAACCCGAATTTTTCTAGTTCTAGGTCTGGTTAGTTCTAGTTTTACACTAGCACTATCACTAGAACTAACACAAGACCTAGAACTAGAAATAGTCGGGTTTAGTCGTGAAAAAAACTTTCACTTGTCAATGTCAACTTTAATTTTATTATTATATTCGTAATCTTCATAAAATAACCTTTAAAATGAGTCCAAACTTGACGCATTTATCTCAAAAAACCAAAAATTTCGAACTTTCAAGTTTTAATTTTGACATATTTATCAACTTCATAAAAAATCCTTTAAAATGAGTCCAAACTCGACATATTTAACTTTAACATTAATGGAAATACAATCACTTCCGGTTTGAAACGTCAATTTTGATATATTTGTCATCTTCATTAAAACACCTTTAAAATGAGTCCGAAGATGACGCACTTATCTCAAAAAAGTTAGAATAAAAAACATTAAACCCGAAGTTAACAACAATGAAGATAGCAATCTAATTTTTAAATATTAATACCAACCTTAATTTTTTTTTTATTATATTTTTGTTTTTGTGACAAATATTAAGACATTTTATAAAAATTAAGAATATGTCAAAATGACATTGACATTTCAAATCGGAAGTTGCTTATATCTCGAGTAATATTGGAATTAAACGTATCATGTTTGAGCTCATTTTAAAGGATTTTTACGACGATTACAAATATGCCAAAATTGACGTTGACATTTCTAACCGGAAGTTGACCATAACTCCATTAATATTGAAGATAAATATGTCGTGTTTGTACTCATTTTAAAGAATTTTTAATGAAGATTACAAATATGTTAAAATTGAGGTTGACATTTTAAATCTGAAGTTAGTTATCATATAATAGACAAATGGACAACTTCATGGTGTTTTTTATGATGTCTTCTTTATTAAAAAAAAACATTAAAATGATTCCAAACATGATGTTGCTATGTTGTATATTTTTATTGCACTAAAACTAGAACTAACACTAGACCTAGAATTAGAAAAATTCTAGTGTTAGTTTCAAGCAAATATTATAATATAGAAATATGTGGATATTAGATAACTCAAAAATATTATCAGAAAAATTAATAAACATCTTAGTACGGTCAAAATAGAAAGAAATTTTTAAAGATTAATCTTATTATTTTTACATACAGTGTGTTAATTAATTATCGTACCCAACGTCATAATTGCAAGTATGCAACCAACATCGCAGTATACGCGATTTGCGTATTACACTGTGATATTGGTTGCATGCTTGGTTACGATAATTAATTAACATATTGTATTTGTTTATTTATTACATATTTTGATAGAGAATATTTCCTTCTATCTGATGAATGTATCATATTATAAGGTTGTTTAAGAAAAAAAAACGAGAAAAAGTCGAGTTGGTATATTGAAACGGTTTAAATGTTAATGTAGTTAAAAATAGATGAAAGGAAAGTTTTTTTGTTACGTAAACACAAATTCTTTTAATTCTTATAATAAAAAAAAATTTATTTGAACTTTTTTATTACAAAAATATTACATGAGCTTATTTACAACGGTTATAAAAAAGGCACAAGTCATTGATGGTACAGTGTGACTCCTAAATAAGTACTCAGCCTAACAAAGAAATAAAATCTGGATACTAAAACGAAAAAAATCTACAGATATGTTTCTTAAAATGCAAAATATTATAATTATGATATCTTTTCCAATTTAATTTGTCTTTTTCAATCAAGTCTTATCACACAACACCTCTCCTCTCAATGTCTTGTTTTATAAAATATTCTTTTTACCATTTCGGTTGAATTTCTTTAAACTTCCACTGTTGATAAGTATTGTTAATATCGCACGGCATTAACGATAAATGCGCAGTTTGGGGATGTAAAGCCATACATTTTTTATGAACGCGATGAAGAAGCACGAAAGAATTTTCGTCGTAAGACCACGGCCCATCGACAGTTCCCATTCGACAAAACGTCAATTTAATACCTTGGGAATCAGCTTCAATACATCGTTCACCAACTCCTAATTGCCCTTTAGCGTTTAACCGTATTAATTGGTTATTTCCAAATCCATGGCAATGAGTAATCGACATGTAACTTGGGGGGCCATGTCCTAATGTGTCTATGCATTTATCAACAGCCGCCGAACGTAATTCCCCATAATGAACGTTTGGGGGTAACTCAGGGAATTTATCTAATACATCATAAGCAACATTTTCCATGTACCATTTAAAATCTTTACATTGTAGGCGTTCTTTTAACGCGAGTTGATCTGAAATATCACCCATGTCTAAAAATCTCGCTAAGGGTTCTCTCGTATAAAAATATTCTTTGTATTTGTCATCAAACCAGGTTTCAATGACCCTCTTATAATTGATTGTAATTAAAGGTCCCTTCTTTTTGTTGGCCAATTTCCCAAAATTATACGGCATAAAACTACGATAAACATGACCAACCCTCGAACAAGGAACCCACTCAATACTTCCACCACACTGCCATATTTTAAAACTTAACTCAAAATTTTCACCCCCCCAAACTAAAAGACCCGGATCGTAAGCGCCAATATCAAGAAAATATTGTCGATTTATAGCGAATAAACCCCCCGCGTGTGTGGGACTTTTATAAGGTTCTGAAGTATGATGGCGTTTATTTAACTCCCTCTGAGGAACTTCGTTTTCTTTATACAACATCCCCCATTCGAAAATTCCTCTAAAATGACGATCATCGCCGTAAACGGGTCGATATTCAAAATTTTTATTATCAATTCCATCGATAACCGGGACAGTCATCGTTTTTTCATCTCGATAAATTGGAGCTAATAACGGGGGTAACCAATTTGTGTTAACCTCGCAGTGGGCGTCTAAAAATACGATAACATCTCCTTTCGCCTCTTTAGCACCTCGAGATCTCGTCCGAATTAAACCTTCCCGTTGCGTGTTTCGAATTAACCGAACTTTTCCATTAAATCTCTCAATATAATTGTCTAATTGCCCCTTGAGATTTTCTTTATCACTGTAATCATCAACTAATAAAACTTCTTTTAAAACATGATCAGGTGAGCGATTAATCACCGAATGAACCGTCCTTAATAAAACTGACCAACCCTCGTTATGAAACACAATAATAACCGAGGTTGTTGGTAAATTTACTGGGTAATCCCAGTGACGACACTCAGTTAATCTTGTGTCTAATATAGATCGATCTAAAGATATTTCATCGGAACACGCTACATTCATTCCGTATTCCGATTCGGATAAATCGGCGTCGTTTTGTTGGTTTTGTTTTAAAAGATGGGGTTTGCCGTGTTCTCCGGGTCCTTTTCGATCTTCAACGTTTTTTGGCTCGAAATTTCCCAAGCCGTGGATCAATTTTGGCACTTCCTTTACGGTTAAACGCGAAGATATCACGCTTTTAAAATCTTCTTGTTTCGACGTCGCCAACAAATACAATAACGGTACTAATATTAATAAAACCACCGTAAGACGGATATAACGAGATTTACGAGAAATCGTAAGCCGAACCATTTTAGTCACAATAAAATTATTTCTTATTTTAACCTTAGTTTATTCCAGAAATACGTGTTATACGATTTGCCAAGGTGGCACCAAAACAACTCAATTAAACATGTTAACTTAGAAACCACACGGTTCTTATTATTTCGATGATTATGTATTCACTTTTATTCGTATCCGGAACCATTAATTTTTTTTGTTAAAACTTTTCTTTTTGCGGGGGGAATTTTTTTTGTTAACTGAGTTTAACCGGCTGTGATGTTTTGACGTTTTAACTTGTCAAATGTCAAAACAATACTGGAGTATGGCGACATCTGCACGTGAAAGCTAACCGAAACGATAACGGTTGTTTGACACACTTTTCAAGTGGTTTTGTGATTATAATGTGAATAAAACCGGTTGTGTTCGATAAATAATTGTTACGTATATGATATTTGTTTAATTTATTATAATGTGATTTGTAGAAATTTAAATTTTAAAGTAATGTTTTAAGTGTCATTACAGAGATGGCGCTTTAATTTATTTGTTATTAATGTTGGATTTTAATAAAAAATTTCATATTAAAAATGTTAATATTTATCATACAGGTACAAACAACGTCTTATAAAAATTATTACTAAATTTATTTACATTCTTTTTTCTTTTATATTATTTTTTAAGTATTATTACTTAATGAACCTCCTAGTACCTGATTATTACGATTTAAAACGCCTGATCTTTCTTCATCTTCTGTTATATCGATTAATTCAGCTTCTTCCTCAACAATTTCCAATCCGTCACTTGAATTTGCATCATTTTCATTATCCTCCTGTATTGGCTTAGAATTAGATAACAACTGAGGTTGGTTTTTTCTTAGTTTGGTAGGGGAAAGATCAGATCTAAAGGGATTTATCTATTTAAACGATTTCGGAACCATTAATTCTTTTTGTTAAACTGAATTTAACCGGCTGTGAAGTTTTGACGTTTTAACTTGTCAAATGTCAAAACAATACTGGAGTATGGCGACATCTGCACGTGAAAGCTAACCTAAACGAAACGATAACGGTTGTTTAACACACTTTTCGAGTGGTTTTGTGATTATAATGTGAATAAAACCGGTTGTGTTCGATAAATAATTGTTACGTATATGATATTTGTTTAATTTATTATAATGTGATTTGTAGAAATTTAAATTTTAAAGTAATGTTTTAAGTGTCATTACAGAGATGGCGCTTTGATTTATTTGTTATTTTATTTGTTATTAATGTTGGATTTTAATTAAAAATTTCATATTAAAAATGTTAATATTTATCATACAGGTACAAACAACGTCTTATAAAAATTATTACTAAATTTATTTACATTCTTTGATACTTTTTTTTCTTTTATATTATTTTTCAAGTATTATTACTTAATGAACCTCCTGGTACCTGGTGATTACGATTTAAAACGCCTAATCTTTCATCATCTTCTGTTATATCGATTAATTCACCTTCTTCCTCAACAATTTCCAATCGTTTACTTCAATTTGTATCATTTTATTATCTTATATCCTCTTGTTTTGGCTTAGAATTAGATAACAACTGAGGTTGGTTTTTTCTTAGTTTGGTAGGGGAAAGATCAGATCTAAAAGGATTTATTTATTTAAACGATTTCGGAACCATTAATTCTATTTGTTAAACTTGGTTCACTTGGTTAAACTAAATTTAACCGGCTGTGATGTTTTGACTTTTTAACTTGTCAAATGTCAAAACAATACTGGAGTATGGCGACATCTGCACGTGAAAGCTAACCTAAACGAAACGATAACGGTTGTTTAACACACTTTTCGAGTGGTTTTGTGATTATAATGTGAATAAAACCGGTTGTGTTCGATAAATAATCATTACGTATATGAAATTTGTTTAATTTATTAGATTTGTAGAAATTTAAATTTTAAAGTAACGTTTTAAGTGTCATTACAGAGATGGCGCTTTGATTTATTTGTTATTGTTGGATTTTAATAAAAAAATTCATATTAAAAATGTTAATATTTATCATACAGGTACAAACGACGTCTTATAAAAATTATTACTAAATTTATTTACATTCTTTGATACTTTTTTCTTCTTTTATATTATTTTTTAAGTATTATTACTTAAAGAACCTTCAGGTATGTGATTATTACGATTTAAAACGCTTGATCTTTCATCATCTTCTGTTATATCGATTAATTCAGCTTCTTCCTCAACAATTTCCAATCCGTCACTTGAATTTGCATCATTTTGATTATCCTCTTGTTTTGGCTTAGAATTAGGTAATGATTGAGGTTGGTTTTTTCTTCGTTTAGCTGGGGGAAGATCAGATCTAAAAAGGATTTATTTATTTAAACAGGTTTTTTCATCATTTATATTTAAATTACATTGTATAATTATTTTCTGATTTTTTTGCCAAATTGTAATATTTTGCTTTATGCTGAGTTGATAATTTCTTCCACATTGTACTTAAACGAACTGATAATTCTTTGTTATTTTCACCTAAAATAAAAAATATGCGAATTAATAAATAATTAAATCATTTCGATTTATTTACTTGGGTACTTTTCTGATAACTTTTTCCTCCACTCGTTTTGGAAAATCATAAAAGCTATGGGTGGTTTATTTATTTTTAAATTTTCAGATGAATTTAAGTTATTTTTTGTGTCTAAATCTTGAGTTTTATTATAATTTTCATTAATTGGGCGTTTTTCTTCGTCGTAATTTGCATTTTCGATCGTTTCATTATCTTTTTGGATCCCCATCATATTTTTCTTTTCGATAATATTATTAAAAACGATATTGCTTAATCCTTTCACTTGAAATTCATTTGCTAATGCTAAAATATCGTTGATTTTATCTTCCGAAACACGAATTTCCCCTAAATACATAAAGGTTAAAATATGTCTCAAATCATCCAGTTTAACACCATTTAGAATAATCAGTGGATTAGAGACTGTGTGTACTTCAAATAATTGCTACAAATTACAATAAAAAAAATTTTAGGTTATGTTTATGTCAAAAAAATAAAATAAATACCTGGAAATAAACACTACAAGCTGCTAAAACTATCCGGTGGGCTTTTATTAATTTTCCCTCACACGATATAATAACGTCCGTAAGTAATTCTCGGTGTAATTGTTCTGTAAATATTTGTAAAAGATTTTCTTTAAAGTTGTTCCATTTTAGGTTATAATGTTGCTTCGAACTCTCCGCATCCATTTCAGTCGTTTTTTTTGTTTTAATCACGCTTTTATTAAAAAACAAAGTTTAAATTATCAATTACCTTGAGAATTTATATATTAATTAATGTGATTCCCCAAAACATTAACAATTAAGCTATGCAGAAGTGAGGTTGCGGGATAAATTTAGTTATTACAGTGTTGACAACTTTCTAAAAATTAAATAAAAAATAAAAATAGTTTTTTGTGTTAAACAATCCTTTATTTTATCAACTTTATAAATTAATTATAAAAATTAATATGTTATTTACTTATTGTTTTTTAATGAGTAAATAAAAATATGATTAAATAATTTTTTTGTTAAGTAAAAGTGGTTGCCTAAATAAATTTAATTAATTAAAATGACACTTATTAATTTTATTTATTGTAAAAAATAAAACATACAAAGATAATTAATTCATTTTATTTGTATTAGTATTTTTAACGTTTTTATTTAAAAGAGAAGTACGTGGACATTTCTTAGTAATAATATGTTGGATCCTATGCAATGAGTCGTCGAAATGGGGTAAGAACGACCCATTCACTTCGGAATGACGTCAAAGCTGTTTCCAGTATCGTCCTGGTGATTCCAAGAATTCAACCCCCAACACGCCCGCGCAAAAGTTGTCACACAGAACCGTACTAAATATAATTTATTTATGCAGAATTAATAATCCATTAAAAATAATGATTACTTTTAATATGTATCTTGGTGAAGAAGAAAGTATGATATCATTAATTACATAATTGAAGGAAACCATTTACGCCATGTATTCTACCAGCAGCCATAAGGAATAATAACATGGTCATGGACAGGAAAGAATACAACAACAAGATAGTGAGTCTTTTGGATCCAGCCAAGAAAATTAAAAAGATGAAATCTACAGAAATTCTAGCAGAATAGAAGTTTGTTTGTACAGGCCCCAGTACCAACAAGAACTCTACTCAAGATCTCTCTATGATTCCATCTCCTGCTCAAAAAACCAAATGCTGTGTAGAATTAAGAAGATGAATTAGGCACGGATAATGCCCAAACAGCATCTGTAACTAAGGGTACAATTAAGAACTTCAGGGTTATACAGATCATATTTCAGCAGTGAATATTTTTGTCCAAATCACCTGAATAGCAGTGTTCCCCCGTACCGGGAATAGCCAAATAAAGAACTTGCCCGTTATGACATCGAAACGTGTATAAAGACGTGATCTTCACTAGTTGTGATCAAAACGGGCTCGGTTGAGTGCCAAAGCATGAACTTTACGAAACGGCTCTTTACTACTAGCGATGTCGTACGTTGATTCTGCATCGTTATTTAATGTTAATTGTGCCAGTTTACCTAATCCAAGACTTACGTCTAACGTTTCTTCTTCGTTCATAGTTAAAAAAAAATCGTATCCGGAGCATGATACAGAAAAACTTATACTGCAAAAGTTGTAGCAAATTGTACCCTTAACACAATGGTCTGTAACATATTTGCTCCCAGATGCATCAGTATGGAGAATTTTTCAAAAATGTGAAAATTAGAAAAGTGTTAAAAAAAAATCGGTATCCCGAGTATGATACAGAAAAACTTATACTGCAAAAGTTGTGGCAAATTGTGCCCTTAACACAATGGTCTGTAACATTTTTGCTCCCAGATGCATCAGTATGGACAAGTTCTCCATCCAGATACTGCTACTGAGTCCAGATACTGAGTTATCGACAAGTTTTTGGACCACCTTGAAAACTTTTAATACAACTAATACAATTCTTGTTATAGTTCTTTGTTTAATAATAAAAATAATATACTTTTTGCCTCCTTCCATTTGGTACTTTCAAATAATGACTTTCCATTTTGACGATGATCAACAGCTTCCAATAACAGATTCAGTTCGTATAATACGTACTTCCATTGCTTTTGCATCGGCATCGTCTCTCAGAGAATCCAATTTTCCTAGATTGAAATCTTTATTTTCCTGTAAGTCCTGGAGATGGTTATTCTGTGGCAATACCTTTCTGACCCTCTATAATATGGCGTCAGTTTTGAAGGAATATCCTCAGTGTCACTTCTGGTTATTCGAATGTTTCTAGTTCTAGGTCTAGTGTTTGAACACTTGGATCTTGTTTCTAAAGAAGGTTATAGTGCTTGCTAGTGTTAGTTCTAGGTTTAGTTCAATATAATACATTAATTGTAATAAAAGTGCTTCACGGATGGAGAAGTATGTCGGCAGACTGGAGAGTGCGAATTTTTGATTTTTAAATTTTTCATTGTTGTTCTAGATTGTTCTAGAGTAGTTCTAAAGTTGTTCTACATTGTTCCAAAAATCGAAAAAAACGGTTTTTTTGACTGGCCCCCCACATTTTTGGAAAAATCAGATTTTCTTTGTTATTCTGGGTTGTTCTAGTTATTGTCCTAGAAAACCAAAATTATGGGATACAGCATTACGAAGTTATAACTAAAAATAGGTTTGACTGCCAAAATATCTAATTGATTACTGTGACCATAGTTTTTCTATTTTCAATTCCATTTTACAAATATATACTTATTATACCTAAAGCACTCTGGAATAGCTATTATTTTCACTAGAACAAGTCTATAAAGGACACTTTACTCTTTGAAAATTAAAGTTTTTAGAACTTTCAGACAGTAATTCTTGCGTCAGTGGTTTTAAATTACACAAAAACATTTAAAAAACATATAACGATCTAAAATAACTCAAACTTTGCTGATTCAAATTGTTCTAGGTGTGTTTTATGTTTAAATTAGAGAAAAAAAGGTTTTTCTAGTAACACGGACATGAATTTTGCAAAATCATATCTTCTTAAAAACACAGCAAAATGCAGTCTTATTTTTATACATAATGTATTATACATTATGTATAAAACTAAATATCTCTGTATCCCACCCACACAGAGATATATTTTTATATACTATATATTTATTATATATTTATACAGGGTGTTTCACATAAGAACCGACACAGAGCAGAGATATGTAGAGGACAATAAATTAAGATGATTTAACGCAAGTTATCTCTATACTAATTGTAAGTTGTACCCCTGAGGAGTTATAAGCCTTCAAAGTTGGGTCTTAAATTTTTCGTAATCGATGACCCCATATAAAGCAGACACCACATGATCCTCCAAGATGTTTTCGATGTAATTCATGGCATTTAGTTTACCAGTAACTTTCTCGCTGGACGTCTGTAAACAGTACGGACGTCCAGTGACAAAGTTACCAATCTCTGTGATCCAGAGCAAACCTCGTTCGCGCTGCTTTGTGAGGCTGCGTAAGGCGCGGTTCGCTTTTAGGTTTCAAATTCACTTCTTTTAATTTGTTTCTAATAGTTTGATCAGAAATTTCTATTTTATATCCTCGTGTTAAGTCGTTTAGGAGGTCTGGTGCTGTGGCAGTACGCGTACATAGACAAGAAAGGACAAGAAATCGGTCTTGATTTTGAGCAGTTTTTTGATTTCGACCTTGTCCAGCTCTTCTAACATGTTGGCCAGTCTCCCGAAACCAAAAATTGACAACTGAATTCATTTGTTATCTTTATAACGCGTTTTTTGCGTTATTAATTTACATTTTTAAGTGTAACTTAGAAGTAACTAAGAGTTGTAACATTGTTTTTGTAATTTCTTTAGTTAAATATATGCCGTTGAAGTAAACCAAATTTGATTTGCCTACTATAATTTAAAATGTTACAGATTTCGAAAAGTGTTCCCCTAATTTTTTTGAGTAGGGTATATAAATATATAGTATACAGGGTGTCCCGTTAAGAGTACGGAGCGGCTGTATCTCTAGAACGGTAAGGCCAAGAGGTTTGGGAAAAAATCCTTATAAGCAAAGTGACCAAGAGAAATTTTATGCTCTTTTTAAAGATATTTTCAGTAAGACCGTCTGCTTTAAAGCAAATGAGCTAGAGGACGTTATCTGCAGCGATTACATATTTTTGTGATTTTTGAAGAAAAGTTAAATGGAACGATACTATTTACTTTACAGACCCTTAGTCACCTTAAAATTTGCTAAATTTTAGTGAAAACCGCATCTCGATATCGCCACCCGTTCTCGAGTTATAGAAGAAAATGTTAAGACCTCGAGTGCCATCACTCGGATTCAGTTACCTCATCGAGAAAAGCAAATCACATTACCATGGTAACTGTAAACATGTCATTTACTAGCTCAGAAGCGTATGATAGAGCGTATGATGATTTATTTTCAATGTTTCGAATACGATGCAACTGCATGGCAAAAATGTGCAATGCAATTACGACAAAGAAAGACATTTTTCTCTAGAAGTGTTTTTAAGATTGACTTAGCGATTACGGAAAACTGGCAACGTGTAGCCCATTCAGACATCTCTATGAATTCGTAAATCACATTGGTGCGCAATGTGATCCCACATAATCTGGGAACTCCGAAAACAATTGTCCACAAGAGTTCTCAAGAGAATAATATCTCCACCACGTTGTTTTACATCAGGCCTTAACAGATACCGATTATGATAACAGACTGAACTATTACCATTGACTTTTAAATATGATTTGGGCAAATCCAAACCTTTTATCACAAATGCTATGGATGCATGAAGCATCTGTCCACAAGCTGATGTAAACTTGCATAATATGCATTCTTGGTTCGAGCAAAACCCACATTGCTTTCACCCCTTTATCTATTGGGTAGACTAAACGACCTGACTTTTCAAGAAAAACCAATAACCAGGGAAAATATGACAAAACACTAAATACCAGTAGAAACGTGTCCAGGGCCGAGACTTAAGCAGCGCTTTTTTTTCGTCGAAACTAGATTAAATAAATGCATCGAGGTTTATGGAAGGCATTTCGCACATTAGTGAGTTATTTTTGCCAAAAATTTAAGTTATTCTAAGTGTTTTGGTTTATTTTGTTTTATTATCATTGTTGATGTTTCATTGATCCGTTGGCTTTTCAACACGCCTCAAAAGTAGTTTTGAAGCAGTTCTAAGCTTGGATAAAGTGTGAAGGAAGGTTCTAGATAATAAAATTTTTGTTCTCTCTTATTTGTTTCCTAAGGTAACTTGATCCGATTAAGATATACGAATTTTTAACATTTTCTTTTATAATTCGAGAATGGATGGAGATATCGAGATGCGGTTTTCACTAATATTTAGCAAATTTTATGGTGATTAACGGTCTGTGAAGTAAATAGTACCGTTCCATTTAACTTTTTTTCAAAAATCACAAAAATATGTAACCGCTGCAGATAACGCCCTCTAGCTTATTTGTTTTAAACCAAGCGGTCTTACTGAAAATATCTTTTAAAAGAGCATGAAATGCTCTTTCAAACAAGACCAAAAATATTCAAATCGGTTGAATGGTCCAGGAGATATTAAAATGTAAACATTTGAAAACGCATTGGCCTCCCCCTCCTTTATTATGACAGATATGAAAAATATTGCAAAACAAAAGCGATGCGGTATTATCCAAGCTACTAAATGATGTTGTCAAAGTTATAGCTCATCGTCTAACTTTCTGAGATAGCAGGAATTTTATGTTTCTCTATGGCAGCTACGCCCCCTAGCGGTCGAATTACGAACTTCAAAATAATTTCCAGCTATTTCTCTTGCCCACTTTGCCTATAACGATTTTTTTCCCAAACCTCTAGGCTTTACCGTTATTGAGATACAGCCGCTCCGTACGCTTAACGGGACACCCTGTATATAAATATATCTCTGTGTGGGTATAATACAAATATATTATATGTATTTTTGTTTGCTGATCGAATAGTTGGATTATTCATTTGTTGATTTATTATTTTTCTTGTTAGGTTTGCATTTTGCTGTACAGGTGTCCCAATTTCGATGTCCGCATAGGCTATTTCCGAAACTAAAAGAGATAGAAAAAAAGTAGCTTACATGTCATGATCTCGTTTTTCGAGATAATGCTAATGCCGAAAACTCCGAACAGCTATCGTCTTTTGTTTTCGCCCTATCGGCAAAAACTGACCTTTTTACGAAGAATTCAGTGGCGTAGGTAGAATTTTTTTCCCATCTTGTATTTTCGAGATTTTAGACGTAACTTTATTTTTTTAAATGGAAATCATAGTTGGCTACGGCTTAAAATAATTTGTTATTTTCTTCTGATAACAAATATATATAGTTTGTGGGGTATATTTCTTATAGTTATTGAATAATTAACAAAAATTCATTTTGTTCTATCTAAAACTAATGTATGTATTTAAAAGTTAATGTTGCTATGGTGATAACCATACATACTATGATGCAACATAATGTATCAAATAATTGCCAAAGTTTGTATTTAAAAATTCGATAACAACTCTGGCATTATGTGCTGGTACGATGCACCAGCATTACATACCAAAATGACCTGCAAGAGAAATTGCAACAAGACGTCTGACCCAAAAGCCGTTGCTTCCGACTATGAAAGAAAAATAAGTATAAACCATACAAAGCGGGGCTAACTCCTTATTTACGTGCCGGAGATGTCAATCGAAGATTAGAATTTTGTAGATGATATTTAGAAAAATTAAATAGTCTGCTGTTTGTTCAAAATGTTATCTGGACCGAAGAAGTCTCTGAGTGTTCAAAGAAGCTTGGGGTTCAATGTATGGTGTGCCCTTTTAGATAATAGAATTTTGCCATATAGTATCTACCATAAAAACTTAAACTCAGAGAAATACCTCAATATATTAAGGCAGCACTTGAGCCTTTGGTCGACAATTTGGCACTAAATATGTCTCAAATGATATATTTTCAATATGACGGAGCACCAGCACATAATGCCAGAGTTGTTAGTGAATTTTTAAATACTACTACAAACTCCTTGCTACAAACTTTGACAATAATTGGAAACAATGCTTTCCCTCATGGTATGGTTATCACCATAACAACATTAAGTTTTAAATACATACAATAGTTTTAGAAAGAACAAAAAAAATTGATACATTATATTCCATCATAGTATGTATGGTTATCACTAGGGCACGAAACTTTTGTAACAAAACGATACGATTTCCCCCCTCCACTTGTTCTCATTGGCTAGTTTTCTAGGAAGCCACTGAGAACAAGTGGAGGGGGGAAATCGTATTCTTTTGTTACAAAAGTTCCGTGCCTTAGTTATCACCATAGCAACATTAACTTTTAAATACATACATTAGATTTAGATGGAACAAAATGAATTTTTGTTAATTATTCAATAACTATAAGAAATATACCCCACAAACTATATATATTTGTTATCAGAAGAAAATAACAAATTATTTTAAGTCATAGCCAACTATGGTTTCCATTTAAAAAAATAAAGTTACGTCTAAAATCTCGAAAATAAAAGATGGGAAAAAAATTCTACCTACGCCACTGAATTCTTCGTAAAAAGTTGCCCATATAATGTTTTATTTATAATACTCCATCTTTGATAATAAGTGAGATATTCGCGATTGTCGTTTTCGCAAAATTTTCAGTTTTTGCCGATAGGGCGAAAACAAAAGACGATAGCTGTTCGGAGTTTTCGGCATTAGCATTTTCTCGAAAAACGAGATCATGACATGTAAGCTACTTTTTTTCTATCTCTTTTAGTTTCCGAGATGGCCTATGCGGACATCGAAATTGGGACACCCTGTACTTTTATGATTTTTCAAAATTAATGTCCGTATAACCAAAAAAACCTTTTTTCCTCTAATATAATTGAAAACCACTGACGCAAGAATTACTGACTGAAACTTTCAAAAACTTTAAGTTTCAAAGAGTAAAGTGTCCTTTAGAGAGTTGTTGTACTGAAAATAATAGCTGTTCCAGATTGCTTTAGGTATAATAAATATATATTTGTAATATGGAATAATTGAAAATAGAAAAACTATGGTCAACTAAACATTTTGCAGCCAAATCTATTTTCAGTTATAACTTCGTAATGATGTATCCCAAAATTTTGATTTTCTATCAACAAATGGGTTAATAAAACATAACAATTTAATATAAATAATTAAATTGATTATTTAGTGATCTTTTTCATTATTATTGAGAACTTTTCCTGAATCCATTCCTGTTCCTAAATGACTTCGTAGGTCGACGCAGCATCTACGTCACAACGCCCACAATCATCATCCGATCGATACGTTAGAATCGTCAATTTACGGTTTTGAAACCAATAAAGATGCATTTTACAAATCAACCCTTACTAAAAAGCCTAAAAATAAATTTTCGGTATTAACCATTTTTTTATATTTTAATCCCAAAATATTTCTTTTTTAATTAATTCTTTTTAACCAATAATTACTTATTTTATTGTACATGACTCATTAATAATAATTCAAGTTGCATCAAAAATGAAATTAATGCAAATAAAAATTTGGGTTTTATTAAAAAAGATTAACTAAAAAACGATTTATGTGTTAAAATTTGTAATAAACATAGTCCGAATGTAGTATATAAGTTTCCTCTCGTTTGTGGAAACTAAGAGACAGTGATGAGAGGGTCCGGTGGTGGATTGCGAATTGGGGTTACGCAAGGATAATCGATATTACGACCCAACTCAACCTCATTCAGCTTGGTTTATTTTTAGAATAACGCTTGCTTTTAGTTTGCAAAATGTCTACGACTTGTTTTAAGGGGTTAATTTACTTTAATTAATAAATTAGTTATACAAAATTAATCCCATAATTATAATTTCTTAATATCTTGATTATTTCTGAATACCTCAAATAATAAAAGGTACTCTTTTCGTGTTCGTGTGATGTGATGTAAATAAACATTGCACGTGGGGAAATGCGTTTCGAGAGTTTTATCGGTCGTCCGATCGGATAATTCGCCTCTGGTCGGATTTTAGCGTCGGTTTTTCAATAAAACTATGAAAGGAGCGTGCGCGTGACGTCAGAAACGCCTCCGCTTGTCAGTGTATCGTCGAGCAAGGGCCGGGGTGTAGGTTCGAAGGGCTGTGTAACTGGCCAACGTCGGGGCACTACGGAACGGGGCATCCGAGGGGCGCAGCACCACCCACGACTAACGAGATGTCGTCTGTGATAAACCGGAAACGAACATCAGTCGTCAAATTGTGCCACCACTTCACCACACGAAACCGACGTCGCCTATAAGAAGAAATATTGTAAGTATGCGAAGGAGATTTTTATGGAAATATTAAAAAGAATTGGGGATGAAGTGCGTTTATTTTATTTTTGAATCGAGTTTTTGGCGCGTCTAACTCTTGAGTGGCTGACGGTGCTGATTTTAGTGAATGAATTGATATGTGAAAGAAGAGGCAACGTGAGGGACGGAGGATACGATCAATACGGGCGCCCAGAAGGATCTTAACACCGTTCATCTCGTCCTTCCTTTAATAAAGGACGATATCTCTTTCGAAATAGAAAAAAAATTAACTTCGATTGAATATTAAATATTCAAAACCAAAAAAAAACTCCCCCCCCTAACTAATCGATATCCACCAAGTTAGTGTGTCTAAAAATATTCCTACAAAAGCGATTGATTCCGAGCCGCCAATTAAAAATACATCAAGAACATCTGCCGGTCGGCCCCCCATTCACTTGTTTTTCCACCTCCCCCTAGACGAGTCTTTCCGTTCGGCCTCCCCCCGCAAATCGATATTCCAGTGTCATCATCTGTGGCCGGCTGTGGCCCGAAGATGACATCCCAGAAAAATCAATATCGGAGAGAGGAAAAAACGAGAAATCGCGACTGGTGAACTTTGGCAACTGTACCTAAATCGGGGTCACACTTTTTTTAACTCCTCTTTTGTCGGAATTAATACCCAGTTATTGTCAAGTATCTCTCACAAAAATTAAAAAAGATGAATTTTAATATATTCCATGTCTGTAAAGTTACTAATGAGTTATATCAAATCGATTTCTCATTTTATAGAACTTATCATGCTTGAGCTTGAGTTGATTTCCAGATTTCAAATGATGTTTTTATGAGCAAATTATCTTATTACAATTGTTACTTCAATAGGTTGATAAATCATTCAGAATAGCTCCAAATCAGTTTCTTCGTAGTCTTCGCATCAATTGCTCTGGTTGCTTAAAAATGTAATTTACTCGAAAAGCAGATTGCTAATTGATCAACAAAATAGCTCCAAAAATCTTCGTATTCTTGTAGTGTCTACAAATTAGATCATAAGTTGATTTAAAACGTAATAATATTAAACTAGAATCTACCTTTCGTTTGACACACTTTTGCTAACACTTTCATAAAAAATCCTGTTCGAATCCTTCAACATTCTTAAATTATAGAGTTTTAGCTTTAATTTGATATCAAATTTATCTTTTAACTCCTCCAAATAAAATCAGAATGAATTCTTAAATTTTTCAATTCTCTATTTTAGGTTATGTCAAATATGTTCATTAATTTTCTCTATTATCTCAACGATTTTTCTTAGAAACATAAGTAACCATAAATATTCGTGAATTGCAATCTTTTAGTTTTAATTTGACACATAATTCATTAATTAACTCCTATAAATAGAATCAGAATGTATTTTTTTGTATTTTTTAATTTTATAGATAAAGTGAGGTTAAGTTTAAAACTTTTCCAACATATTTCCTAAAATTTTCACAATAATTTCTTTCCAAAACCATAAATATTCTTAAATTATAGATTTTTAGCTTCAATTTGATGAATTTATCTCTTAACTTCTCCAAATAAAATCACAATAAGTTCTTGAATTGTCATTTCTTCAATTTAGGTTATATCTTGAAGATAGGCGCGAATTGTAGAGTAGGGCAATTGTCATACTGGTATTTTAATAGTCAAATTCCCCTCACTGATTTAATCTTTAAAGCTTTCTGTGGATTAACTATTCTTCTATTTTATTTTATTGCTAATTAATAATTTTTTTTATAGATAACAACTATGTCGATGAATGAAAGAGTTGCAAGAAGTGTAGCTTTAGAACAAGCCTACGTCCACGACGTTTACGAACAATTTTGCGACAACCCCAAAAGTAAACCCTGGCCCCGCGTTCAACAATTCTTAGAAAGCCTAGAACCCGGTTCGTTGGTCTGCGACGTAGGTAAGATGATGAAGCCATCAAATTAAGTTTCCATACTAAATAGGTTTTTGTTTAATGTTAATAGGATGCGGCAACGGAAAATATCTCAACGTAAACAACGCAATTTTCAATATCGGTGGGGAAAAGTGCTGCCGTCTAAGCGAGGTGGCCAAAGAAAAGGACAACGAAGTTTTGGTTCTCGACAATTTAGCCCTTCCGTTCCGCGACGAAAGTTTGGACGCGGTTCTTTCGGTGGCCGTGGTTCATCATTTCGCGACTACCGAAAGGAGAGTTTGTGCTTTGCGGGAATTAGCGAGAGTATTGAAAATCGGTGGGAGATTGATTATTTCGGTGTGGGCGATGGAACAGAGTCACCGGAAATTCGAGTCGCAAGATGTGTTGGTGCCGTGGCATCGCCCTCAACATCTTAGCACACCATCGCTCGAATTAACCTCAACTACGACCACCTCAGAAGACGATTGCACAAATCCTTACCACGCATACACTCAATCCGACACCGATTCTAATAAATCTGGAAGGACCAGTACAAAAAAGAAAGGAAGGACGCGTCATAAGGGACGATCCATCGATCCAAAACGGAATTCATCGCCGAGCAGCTCTAGCTTAAGTAGCCCAAATGAAACATGTTACAGTTTTGTACGAAGGGCTATTCAAAAATTGGCTGGGACGAGTAAAAGGGTGGGAGTACATCGACCGTGGTTCTTAGATAGTTGGACGACTTGTACTAAAGATGTGCCGCCGCCAAAGAGGTATGATCCCGATGGCTGTGAATGTTGCGATTGCGACATACAAGACATACCCATAGAGTTAAGGAGAGTCGATGATGATGAGCTGCCACAACGGAGACAAACGTTTCCATCATCGCAGATTTTCAACGACCTCTACAACAACCTCAAGTCCAGGAGCATGACCAACATTAAAACCGTCGAAAACAACAACATAATCAGATCTCAATCGGGTGTTCCCAGTATCGCGGATACCACCACTCAAGAAAATAAAACAACCCCATCAACAACTTTAACCAAACCGAAATTAGTTAAACAAAAAAAATCAATTTGCGAAGAAGACGAAGAAGCCTTAGATAAACCGACCGAAATGAAGCAAGTGAATTGTCATTTACCCGAGGGAAAAATAGTAAATCCAAGAAGTAGATTAAACGTGCTCAAACAAAGATCGTTAAACGAAGATGTTATGTCAACGGAACGGTTAAGAGAAAAGGAGAAATTGCGACAGAATATCCAAAAGCAAGCATCTCTTAATGAAGATTTAATATATCAAGGTCACCATGCTTTCGATTCATTCAAAGATTCAATACTTTCCGTTACAACCGCTAAACGATTGCAACTATTCAAAACGGGGTTTACAAAGAAAATCAAAAACTCAACAACGAACATTGAAAAAGTAACCGGAACTTCATTAAAAAACGGTTTCGTGCGGATGTTTCAAAATTGGACCAGCTCCGAGTTAATATCCCCAACAATTCCCGAAGACGATTCGTTAATAACCTCAAAAACCGTGATCGTTGTCGAAGAAAAAAGAGAACCAACAACCGAGCGAAGACATTCCAAAGAAGACGGTTCCGATTCTTCGAAAGACAGCAGTTTACAAAGCGATACGAGCGTCGACAGCGAAGATAGTTTCGCGTCGGTTATTTTCATCCCAAAATCTGATCCAATGTCACCTTCCTTATCTCCAGGTCCAACGTCGCCTCGCGTTAACAATTCCTCCGTCCCAAATTCGCCCAGAATTAAGCAATCATCGTGCCCCACCAGTCCTAGAATCAAACAGATGCCGCTCAGTATTTATCCGCTCACGAAACAATTAAGTTCGCCAAAACCGACCACAACAGTTGGGAAATTTCCCGAAGTTCAATCTCCAACGGAAGAAAAAATTAAAGTTCCAACGATCGTACCGAAGAAAAAGAACACGGAGAGTTTAGCAAAAAAATATTCGGTGCAACAAATTCCGAAATTTAAGAAAACCCCTTTAAATACGAAACAAAAAAGTCCAGAGAAATCGCCCGAAATTAAAATTAAAATTGACGAGGATGAAGTGGATGAAGTGGAGAAGGAGGAGTGTTTGAAGGAAATCCGAGATTTGCTCAGCAAAAAACCGGGGTTTGGAGTTAAAGCTCAAAGATCGCACAATTTTCCAATAGTTAGGAGATGTTCGGTTAATAATGGAAAGGTACAATCAATCGCAAAGCCTCTTCCTAAATTATTATCTTTGGAGTTGTTTAACCCAGAAACGGACGATAAAGACAGCGATTCATCGGCAGTCTCATCCCCCGATTCAATCGATAGTGTTATAAGCGCGGATAAAACGAAGAATCGGTCAAAATTCACCTTTAACGAAGTTAAACACAGAAATAATTTGTTAGAGGCCGCCGCGGATGTAGCGAATTCCTTGGACGAAGCCGTAGAAAAAGTGATAAAATCAAGTCCGAGAGCTCGAAGGAGAGAAGTAAAAACAGGAGAGGTTATTTCAGTGATGCAAAGGCAATATCCATCGGAAACGGTCCCATTGCTCACCGACATCGACGCATCGTGGAACGAAGACTGCCATAAACACTTAACCGATTTCGCTGATAAATTAAGCGAAAAATTATTAAAAGAAATCGATCAATATCAGCAATTGGGGAGAAAAGATTTCGGCACCGACCATTTAGACGATCCGTACATACATAGGTTAAGTGAAGAATTAAACGATTTATCGAAGCTGAGCGCCGAGATTCAAAAACAAAATGAGTATTTGGCCAAGTTGAGTGTTAGTGACAGTAAGTTCGCGGATAATTCTTGTTCGAGGTGCAAATTATTAACTTGTACGTGTAATAAAATAGTTAATAAAGACTCCGGTGGTTTAAAAAATGCCGTTATAAAAACGGAAACGTCGATTGAATCGTACGACTCGGATAAAGGAAGTAGTCCGAATTCGATCGTTTCGATGAGTAGATATAGTGATGGGGGAAGTACGGCTTCTTTGGCTTCTTGTCCGGAGTGGAAAAGACGATCACCAATTCCAATGGTTAAAGAACAACACCAGAATGGCCTCTACAGCGATACATCACAGGAATCATTACCCTCAGATAATGTCGGTGGTGAAATCACTTACCATCGATATTATCACGTATTCAGAGAAGGTGAACTGGACCAATTAATAGAGAAATACGTAGAGAACTTACATATTATTTCGTCGTATTACGACCACGCCAGCTGGTGCATTGTCGCGGAGAAAGTTCAGGTTTGGACCATCTGACCTGGATCAAGCGACCACCACGTCGGAAGCACAACAACCGTGTACATATTATTGTTACTACCAAATGGTTACGATTACTACTACCGCTATTCAAACCATTCTTACTACTATTGTTACCGTACTCGACCGGAGGTCACGACCCGCTGACTAGACACTGCTCCTTGCATTTATCGATTGGCATTTTTAGAAATATTAATAGTAGAAATGTAAAAGTACAATCATTTCTCTTTTTCAAAATCTATTTCGGCTGATTTATTTCATTTTTATTTCGATGACGAGCTCAAAATGAATTAATTTTTGGGAAAAATAGAGCTCAAAAAATTAAATTTAATCTAATTTTCATGTGGTATTCGTAATAATTTAGAAGGAAATTAGCTATATATTTTTGTATGCAAAGGAAAAATTGTATACAAGTTTTCATCAACCAAAGTGAGACGATAAGCATCGAACACCGAACGGAAAAAAGTTTAAATAATCTTTGAACATAAACTATGGCAGAAACTGTTGATTTCCCTAGCGTTTAATTAGAAAGATATTTTTCATATCTATAATAAGAGGAGAAAATTGAAATTTTCTAATAGGTTACACGAGCTGACAAATAAATATCTTGTACATATTACGTATACATACCTCTAGGTAGACGTACTAACTTTCCATCCGGATCCAGGACGGTTTTTTTCTTTGTTAAAGTTGTCTCCGCAACAAATAAAACGAAAAAGTAAAAAAAAAAATTATTTTAAAAATATAGCACGACGAGTTACCTGACGAAAACGTTGTTTCCCTTTAAAAATGGACTTCATAACAGTTTTTAAGTTTTCCAAAAGTAAAAAATAATATAACCAAAACCGGTACAAAACGACCCGACTTCGTGCCTGTCTTGATTGACGACATTCGAACATCTTTTATACTTCTCTAGCGTTCAACGAACTTCATTCGATCGATGTGTTTCACTCTATTAATTAAACGTAAATTAAAAAAAAATAAATTTGCAGTTGACTTGTTGTGTTCAATAAAATATACTCAAACGTTTTGCGTTCTTCTTAAAAAAAACTACTTTTTATTTTGAGTATTTTATTTTATTATTACACAAAATATGCCGCTAATTGTGCCATTTTATCTTTAGGTTGTTTTGGCCTTGGGCGTCCTCTTCCTCTTCCACCTCTCCCACGATGAACCCGATTTCCTCTTATATTCATAACGGCTTTATGTTTTTCAACTAAATTCACAAATTCGGGTGAACAATAAATACAACCTTTCATTTCTTTTTTATCGTTGGGCAACTTGGTTTTTTCTGATTTATATTCGACGTTAACCAGTTGAGCCCCGCAATCACAAACATCATTTTCAACAGTTATTTTTTGACAATCTTCAAATAAATGAATTATTGTATCGCATCTATAAAATTTAAAAAAAAATTAATAAGAACAATTAATTATTAATAAAATGAACAGCGTTATACTGGGTGTTTTTTTAAGCCCGATAGAACTTTAAATTGAAAAAAATAACACAAAAATTAAATTTTAATCAAAAAATGTTTTTGTTTTACTTTTAATTTTAACATATTTGTCAACTTCATAAAATATCCTTTAAAATGAGTCCAAACTCGATATACTTAACTTTAATATTAATGGAAATACAATCACTTCCGGTTTGAAACGTCAATTTTGACATATTTGTCATCTTCATGAAAAAACCTTTAAAATGAGTCCAAAGATGATGCAATTATCTCAAAAAACAAAAAAGTTAGAATAAAAAACATTAAACCCGAAGTTGGCAACAATGAAGATAGCAATTTAATTTTTAAATATTAATACCAACCTACATTTTTTATTTTTTTTAATAATATTTTTGCTTTTGTGATAAATATTAAGACATTTTATAAAAATTAAGAATATGTCAAAATGACATTGACATTTCAAACCGGAAGTTGCTTATATCTCGAGCAATATCGGAATTAAACGTATCATGTTTGGACTCATTTTAAAGGATTTTTCACGACGATTAGAAATATGTTAAAATTGACATTGACATTCTTAACCGGAAGTTGACCATAACTTCATTAATATTGACGATAAATATGTCGTGTTTGTACTCATCTTAAAGGATTTTTAATGATGGTTTGAAACGTCAACTTCAATTTTGACATATTTGTCATCTTCATAAAAAAACCGTTAAAATGAGTCCAAAGATGACGCACTTATCACAAAAAACAAGAAAATTTGAATAAAAAAACGTTAAATCCGAAGTTAGCAACAATGAAGATAGCAATTTAATTCTTAAATATTAATACCAACCTAAATTTTTTATTTTTTTTTAATAATATTTTTGCTTTTGTGATAAATATTAAGACATTTTATAAAAATTAAGAATCTGTCAAAATTAACGTTGATATTTCTAACCGGAAGTTGACCATAACTTCATTAATATTGAAGATAAATATGTCGTGTTTGTATTCATTTTAAAGGTTTTTTAATGAAGATTACAAATATGTCAAAATTGAGGTTGACATCTTAAACCTGAAGTTAGTTATCAAATAATAGAAGTTTTATAACTGAAGTTAATCTAGTGTTAGTCACTTTTCTGCGCTTTCTTTTCATTTTTAACGTGTCTTTTTGGGTCATTTCACATTGATTAAAAAATATCGTGAAACTCGACATACTTAACTTTAATATTAATGGAAATACAATCACTTCCGGTTTGAAACGTCAATTTTGACATATTTGTAATCTTCATAAAAAAACCGTTAAAATGAGTCCAAAGATGACGCACTTATCTCAAAAAACAAAAAAGTTAGAATAAAAAACATTAAATCCGAAGTTAGCAACAATAAAGATAGCAATTTAATTTTTAAATATTAATACCAACCTTAATTTTTGACTTTTTTTATTATATTTTTGTTTTTGTGACAAATATTAAGACATTTTATAAAAATTAAGAATATGTCAAAATGACATTGACATTTCAAACCGGAAGTTGCTTATATTTCGAGTAATATTGGAATTAAACGTATCATGTTTGGACTCATTTTAAAGGATTTTTCACGACGATTACAAATATGTCAAAATTGACGTTGACATTCTTAACCGGAAGTTGACCATAACTTCATTAATATTGAAGATAAATATGTCGTGTTTGTACTCATTTTAAAGGATTTTTAATGAAGATTACAAATATGTCAAAATTGAGGTTGACATTTTAAACCTGAAATTAGTTATCATATAATAGAAGTTTTATAACTGAAATTAACCTGGTGTTAGTCACTTTTCAGTACTTTCTTTTTATTTTTAACGTGTTTTTTGGGTTGATTAAAAAAAATCGTCGATTTTTAAGTCACATGATGATTCTTAAATTTTTCCCAAGTTTCTTAATATTTCTCTTGTTAAAAAAGAGCGCTTTTAAATTTTATCCTAAACTTGTAACACTTCGTCCTTCATTTCATTTTACAACTTTTTAAACTTTAATTTTGTAAATTAGTAACTAATAATCTGATTTCGACTTTGATACATAATCTTTTTTAACGAAATAAAAAGAAATATTAAGAAACTTGTTTCTAAAATGGATAAGTTGAGAGGTTTTAGTGATTAAATTTATGCCACGACTTACAGAAACAGTCTGTATAACCGAAAAACGTAACGAGTGTTCTTCAGTGTTCTGTGATAAAAATGGACAGGCACCAAACAATTTTCAATAGTTTGAGCCTGTCTATTCTGAGAAATTTTATATTTTTAGAGTCCCGTTTTTCTCAACATTATTCATTTGTCGCTTAGTCAACTGATGCATAACTTGGTCCAAATAATTTACCTATTACATCCAAGTTTCCATTTTGGCCCTGATGAAGGATCCAACACCAAAACCCCATAATCGCACCCAACACAACCCGAAACTCCCGTATTATTAAGACTATGAGCACAAGTCGGGTGAGTACAATTATTACAACCATTCCCTTTTTTCATATCACTTCAAAAAAAAATCAATTATTAAGAAAAAAATTACGAATAAAACTTACTTAAAAGGTGGATTATTATAGCAATAAGGACAAAACACGAAACTTTTCCCTTTATTCCCCATAGACCACGACAACAACTCAAAATCATCCAACGGACATTTGAGTTCCTTAAAAAGTCGAACGTTTCCGTTTTGAGGTAACGAAAACGTCTCATCGCATTGAGGACAATGTAATCGCATCGGTTTCGTCATGATGTACTTCATGTATCTTCGGCATTTTCCACATCGTGAGAATGCTTTTCCGGAGGCGCTTAAAGGCGAAAATGAAACTTCGAAGAGTTGATCCATCCCGTCGATATTTTTAACGAAATATTGAAATTTTAAGTTAAAAATTTCAACGGTGTGTTTTAATACCGCTTGGAAGTTGGCTTTTCCTAAAGCGATTAAATTTAATTGTTCTTCTACTGCACTTCTCATTGTTGGGAGAACCAATTCAGGATCAATCTTAAAAAAGAAAAGTTTTTAACTTTTAAAACGGTAGTTTTAGGTAGTGCTGCAATAAATTGATTAATGCCAACATGTTTTTTGGAATGGACCTAATTCACCCACAAAACATTACAGATTGGGCAAACAACGATGATGCTTTACTAAATTCGAATTTTTTAGCTTTAATTTGACACATAATTCATTTCTTAACTCCTATAAATAGTTAATAGTACTATAGTATTAAAGTTAGGCTAAGTTTAAAACACTTTTGCTAACATTTTCATAAAAAATCCTGTTCGAAACCTTCAATATTCATAAATTATAGACTGTTAGCTTTAATTTGATATGAAATTTATCTTTTAACTCCTCCAAATAAAATCAGAATGAATTCTTAAATTTTTTAATTCTCTCATCTTAGGTTATGTCAAAAATGTTAATTGATTTTCTCTATTATCTCAAAGAATTTTCTTTGAAACATAAATAACCATAAATATTCGTGAATTGCAATCTTTTAGCTTTAATTTGACACATAATGCAGTTATTAACTCCTATAAATAGAGTTAGAATGATTCTTTGAACTTTTTGATTTAAAATTAGGTTAAGTTTAAAACACTTTTGATAATATTTTTATAAAAAATCTAGTTCGAAACCTTCACTATTCTTAAATTATAGACTTTTAGCTTTAATTTGATATGACATTTATCTTTTAACTCATCCAAATAAAATCAGAATGAATTTTTAACTTTTTCAATTCTCTATTTTAGGTTATATCAAAAAATGTTCATTGATTTTATCTATTATCTCCAAGAATTTTCTTTGAAACATAAATAAGCATAACTATTCGTAAATTACACTCTTTTAGCTTTAATTTGACACATAGTTTATTTATTAACTCCTATAAATAGAGTCAGAATGATTCTTTGAAGTTTTTGATTAAAGTTAGGTTAAGTTTAAAACACTTTTGCTATCATTTTCGTAAAAAATCCTGTTGGAAACCACCAATATTCTTAAATTGTAGACTTTTAGCTTTAATTTGATACCAAATTTATCTTTTAACTCCTCCAAATAAAATCAGAATGAATTTTTAACTTTTTCAATTCTCTATTTTAGGTTATGTCAAAAAATGTTCATTGATTTTCTCTATTATCTCCAAGAATTTTCTTTGAAACATAAATAACCATAATTATTCGTGAATTACATTCTTTTAGCTTTAATTTGACATATAATTCAGTTATTAACTCCTATAAATAAAATCAGAATGATTCTTTGAACTTTTTGATTAAAGTTAGGTTAAGTTTAAAACAGTTTTGCCAACATTTTCGTAAAAATCCTGTTGGAAATTGGAAACCTTCAATATTTTTAATTATAGACTTTTAGCTTTAATTTGATATGAAATTTATCTTTTAACCCCTCCAAATAAAATTAGAATAATAATAATTTATTAACTCCTATAAATAGAGTCAGAATGATTTTTTGAAGTTTTTGATTAAAGTTAGGTTAAGTTTAAAACTCTTTTGCTAACATTTTCGTAAAAAATCCTGTTGGGAACCACCAATATTCTTAAATTATAGACTTTTAGCTTTAATTTGATATCAAATTTATCATTTCACTCCTCCAAATAAAATTAGAATGAGTTCTTAAATTTTTCAATTCTCTATTTTAGGTTATGTCAAAAAATGTTCATTGATTTTCTCTATTATCTCAAAGAATTTTCTTTGAAATAAAAATAACCATAAATATTCGTGAATTACAATCTTTTACCTTTAATTTAACACATAATTCATTTATTAACTCCTATAAATAGAGTCAGAACGATTCTTTTTGTTTTAAAGTTAGGTTAAGTTCAATATTTTTACCAAAATTTTCTCATTAAACTTTAAATATCCTAATTTTTAAATTATTTACTTTTTGATAACCATGAACAAGAACAATTCCTAAAGTTGTTGGTATTAATTTTCTTCCACCTCCGACGGTAACATAATTCCTTTGACAAATATTATTGATGTGAACCGGAATGGAAGCATCAGTTCCAATTCCGTGCTTTTCCATTAAAGTAATTAACTCGGATTCGGTTAAATAATCAGGAGGATTTGTTTGATATTCAACCAATTTTGTTTCTTGAATTGGGACTAAATCATTTTCAAATAAATTTGGTACAATTTCATTTTTTCCAAACGCCTAAAATCAATTAATTCAATTAATATGATGAGGTATTGAACACAACGAAGTATTAACTTACTTGCCAAGTCATTATTGTGGTAAAACCAGGGTCTATAAGTGTTTTTCCAGTCGCAGTAAATATTTCTTGGTTGATTAAAAATGTTATTGTTGTTGATAAATATTTACAATCTTTAGAAACGGTTGCTATAAAATGTCTTGTAATGTAGTCATAAAGTTTCCAAGAATCTCCATCCAATTCGTTTCTTGTAGCTGTTTTCATTGGTGTGATGGGGGGATGGTCACCAACATCATGTCCCCCTTTCGGTCTATTAATCCCATTTGATAGGACTTCATTAACCTCTTTCGACCATTCAGGGTTGTTTTGTTGCTGTTTAAGAACTCCTCTACTCAAAATTAATAATTAATTTAATTAAAAAAAAGTTTTTACATTTAATTAACTCACAAAATATCAAAATTTTCGGGATATCTTGTTGTTTCTGTTCTAGGATAACTTATATAACCTTGAGTATATAATTTTTCTGCTATCTGCATAGCATGGTGAGGTCCCATTCCTAAACCAGAACTAGCAACCCTCATTAATTCAACTGTATTTAAAGCAAGAGGTCTACTTTTTGCCTTTTCTTTACGCGTAATTTTTGTTACCCTAACATAAAATTTTATTTTTATTAAGTAAAGTGGTTCTTTTTTTAACTTACTGAGATTGAGAACAATCTTTAACTCTTTGTAGAAACATATTAGCAACCTCTTTTTCAAAACACCGTACTCTAGACCAATCCAAAGAGATCTCAAGACCATCTTTAGTTTTAACAATAACTTGAACAACCCAATATGGTTCAGATTTGAAGGTTTGAATCGTATCATGGCGTTGCACACAAAAACCAAGAGTTGGAGTTTGACAAGGGCCATAAGATATTAAAGAGGCGTCTAAATTACCATATTTTCCCTGGAAAAATTTCGTTTGAAATCGAGTAAACGCACATCCGATTCGTAAATCTAATTCTTGTCTGGCGTCAACACTTCTAGCTTCGTTTTCGTTCGGTTTTCCCAAATTATTAAAAGCAGCTTTGATGTCTTTTTCGGTAATTGCTGAAAATTTCGCGCGATATGTAACGTTATCGTTAAAAACGTTCGTATTCATTGTTTTAGCGACAGCATTCATGACTTCATAACAAATATTTTCACCCTCTTTGTCACAATCAAGCCATAAAATCAAATAATCACACCCACGGGCTTCACTGCTTAAAAAAAGGGGCATCTTTAGTTTTGGTGTAGCTTCTTTCTTTTCAGTTGGACAAGAAAATAATTCGACAGGATCTACCCGATCCCAATTATTGTATTTGCTTATAAAATCCAGGCTCATTACGTGACCGCAAACTGAGGTCATTTTTAATCTTACTGTTTCGTTTTTAAACGTGCCATTCCATTCGTGGACGGAACAAGATCCATTTAAACCTAAAATTTATTTTAATGTGAGTAATGTAATTGGGGTTTTATTTTTATTTACCCCGCCGGGAGGAGCATTTTCCGTTGCTTAATATGTTAGCTAGAGAAGCCGCTAACGATGGCTTTTCTGCTACCATAAGAGCAGTTTTCATGTTGGGTTTTTATAAAAATGTAAATATTGTGGTAAATACTCAATAAAAAATGAGGTTAGTTTTTACACCGGTGACAAGTGACATTTAGATTAAGAGTTATTTTTATTAAGTTGTAAAACGAAATATGGGAAAATAATGATTTATTATTTTTTTATTTTGATTAAGTTTATTTAATTTATTTCGATTAAATAATTTTGTATTTTTTAAATATTGGGTGAGCGCCACCTATTGATGAAAAATTGAAATGTTGCTCAAAATAGATCGATCATAAGACATTTAGGTTAGGTGTTATCTTACGGTTTTTTATTAAGTTGTGAAATGAAATATGGGAAAATAATGATTTATTATTTTTTTTATTTTGTTTAAGTTTATTTAATTTATTTAGATTAAATAATTTTGTATTTTTTAAACATTGGATTAGCGCCACCTATTGATGAAAAATTGATATGTTGACCAAAATTGATTAAAAGATATTTAGGTTATGGTCATCTTATGGTTTTTTATTAAGTTGTGAAATGAAATATGAGAAATAATGATTTAATTATTTATTTATTTTGATTAAGTTTATTTAATTTATTTAGATTAAATAATTTTGTACTTTTTAAATATTGGATGAGCGCCCCCTATTGATGAAAAATTGAAATGTTACCCAAAATAGATCGATCATAAAACATTTAGGTTAGGTGTTATTTTACGGTTTTTTATTAAGTTGTAAAACAAAATATGGAAAAATAATGATTTATTATTTATTTATTTTGATTAAGTTTATTTAATTTATTTAGATTAAATAATTTTGTACTTTTTAAACATTGGATGAGCGCCACCTATTGATGAAAAATTGAAATGTTGACGAAAATTGATTAAAAGACATTTAGGTTATGTGTTATCTTACGGTTTTTTATTAAGTTGTTAAACGAAATATGGAAAAATAATGATTTATTTATTTATTTTGATTAAGTTTATTTAATTTATTTAGATTAAATAATTTTGTACTTTTTAAATATTGGTCGAGCACCACCTATTGATGAAAAATTGAAATGTTGCCAAAAATAGTACATAACCATGGTAAATGATAGAAATTTTTGTCAAAGTTTTGTTTGGTGTCCAAAGTCATAGAACACGTGAAACAGAGCATTTGTACTTTCTTTTACATGTGGATGTGGTTTGAAAAATAACTAAATGCACCCAGAAGTTAAAAGTCCATAAAAGAGGCGACTTAATCACCGAAAGGAGCATCTGTGAGTAAGTCTTTGAGGGGAATCCCAGAGGACGTTAAAAAAGCACCGTAATGCACCGGGACGTTTGACGAAAGGTGGTAACTTCAGTTCTTTTCAAGCATTCCCATGTGTTAAATCTGTTTCACCCAAAATTAATCGTTATAAAAAGTTAAAAAAAAACATTATATAAAAAACACCCAACTCAGCCCAACCCCGTTACTGCAATTGTGGTGGAGGGAAAGAAGAATATTGTAATCGGGATAACCTGAAACCTTATAGGGGGTCCACATAATTCCGAAAATTAATTTTCGCCGCCCCGCAAAATAACTCAGAGGTTATGATTCTAACTAATGCTTACAACCTTTTTGTCATGTCTCTGTATGTCCTGTTGTTTTGTTTAATCAAAGTAGCTTCTTCCATATCCACCTATGACTTGTTTGCAAAGTTTGACAAGCAAGGATGTGTCGAAGGTGATAGATGACAAATTAATCCTTATTTCAAGTTATAATCATTGTGTATGTGCAGGTACTATTTTGGAAATAGGAAGAGGTGGTGGACAAATACATTCCGAATTAGTGGACGACACTACAGATAAAGATAGTAAGCAAATGCAAGAAGAAAAAATTTCTACTAGTCCCTTGTCGACAGTACACTTATTAGCTCTTTATAATAAACTAACTTATCATTATTATTTGGAAAATGAAGAGGTGAAGAATAAAGCTTTAATTAATATCCTTAAATCTAAAGATTAAATTGTAGGGGCCATCTCATAACCGAATCTTTACAATAACACTATCATTAGGCAATGAAAAGTATACAGGAACAGGATCAAGTATAAAAGAAGCAAAAAAAGCAGCAGCTTCTCTCGCCTTACTTGAAACCAGTCACCCAAATCCCCCAACAAAAACTAAAGAAAATGTTTCCACCCCAACAGTGGAATTAAATAGTTTAGCATATAAACTAGGCTTAAAAGTCACCTACTTATCTGAGGAGCAACTCAAAGAATCCGATTACAGCTCAATACAATCGAAATCTAGCGTTCCCGATTTAAAAATCGACCAAAAAAGTAGTTACCACACAAAATTAAACAAATCTATCTATCACCCATACACCAAAAACTACGATATCCCCAATCAGGATAGCTCTGCAAAGCCCCCGTTTGTTGTAGCGGTCCTGGTCGGTGACCAAAAATTTATTGGCACTGGTTACACAAAGCAAGCGGCCAGACATGACGCCGCCTCGAAGGCCCTCGCGACTTTATCGCTGATGACGGCCGACGAGAAGGAGTTTTGTTTGGCAACTGGCACTTGTAATCGTGACGCGGTCAAATCGCCGATATCGACGGTATACGAGTACGCTCAATTAAAGCAGCTCAATTTGGAATATGAGGTGATTAGAGAGGAGGGTCCTGCGCACGAAAGGGAATACGTGACGCGGTGTACATTGGGAGATTTAACGACGGAAGGGGTTGGAGGTTCGAAGAAGAAATCGAAACAACACGCCTCCGAAAATATGGTGGCTATGTTGAAGGATATCGCGCCGAGCGCGGCGAGTTCTTCCTCGAATATCTCGGATGGGAGTAAGAAAAAGAAGAAGAAGGGCAAAAAGAAGAATAAGGTTATTAGGGGTTTTGTGAATAAATTTGCGCAGGATGCTAAAGATTTGTTTATGTCGACGTTGGATTATTTAAAACCTGGGGATAACAACGAAAATAAAGTAATAAAAATTAATTATTAATTAATTAATTTCAAATTAATTTTTTTTTAGGATTCTTTAATTTCTGATAGAAGTACTAAAAACCAAGAAAAAGGCGATACTGGAGAATCCACAAATTTTAAAGATATGCTTCTTGAAGTTACTCAAGAACGTGGTATTGTGGTTCATTATAGCGATTTATTTAAAGAGGATTCCAAATACTTTTCGTTGGTTCAAATTGGGTTACATCCGAATTATGTAAATATTTAATAAGTACTAAAGTAGGGTAAACCATACAGTTATTGGACAGGTTTTTAAAAAATTTAAGGAAATATGTCAGATTAATGTTAATTTAACCTGAATATCGTCGGTGCTAATTCAAGTCATTTTGGTAAAGGTTTTGACAAGTTTGTGCTTTTTTTTGTTGGGTTGAGTGTGAAACATTTATGATTATTATCCAACTCCAAAATTTTGTGGGTTATGGAATGGGGTGTCTCAATTGTATTATAATAAGTGTGAATTTTAATCATTGGATAGTGTGAAAAAAATATAAGAAATATACATTGATATCTTATGCTAGAGGAGTTAAAAGATAAATTTGATATCAAATTAAAGTTAAAAGTCTAGAATTTAAGAATATTGAAGATATCGAAAAGGATTTTTTATGCAAATGTTGGCAGTGTTGTAAACTTAACCTAACTTTAAATCAAAAAGTTTAAAGAATCGTTCTGACTCTATTTATAGGAGTTGATAAATTAATTATGTATCAAATTAAAGCTAAAAGATTGTAATTCACGAATATTTATGGTTATTTATGTTTTAAAGAAAATTCCTCGAGATAACAGAGAAAATCAATGAACATTTTTTGACATAACCTAAAATAGAGAATTGAAAAATTTAAGAATTCCCTCTAATTTAATTTGGAGGAGTTAATAGATAAATTTGATATCAAATTAAAGCTAAAAGTCTATAATTTAAGAATATTTGTGGTTTCTCACAGGATTTTTTACGAGAATGTTAGCAAAAGAGTTTTAAACTTAACCTAACTTTAATCAAAAAGTTCAAAAAATCATTCCGACTATTTATAGGAGTTAATAAATTATTATTATTCTGATTTTATTTGGAGGGGTTAAAAGATAAATTTCATATCAAATTAAAGCTAAAAGTCTATAATTAAGAATATTGAAGGTTTCCAACAGGATTTTTACGAAAATGTTGGCAAAACTGTCTTAAACTTAACCTAACTTTAAATCTAAATGTTGAAAGAATCATTCTGACTTTATTTATAGGAGTTAATAACTGAATTATACGTCAAATTAAAGCTAGAAGAGTGTAATTCACGAATAGTTATGCTTATTTATGTTTCAAAGAAAATTCTTGGAGATAATAGAGAAAATCAATGAACATTTTTTGACATAACCTAAAAGTTCATTCTGATTTTATTTGGATGAGTTAAAAGATAAATTTGATATCAAATTAAAGCTAAAAGTCTATAATTTAAGAATATTGGTAGTTTCCAACAGGATTTTTTGTGAAAATGTTAGTAAAAGTGTTTTAAACTTAATCTAACTTTAATCAAAAAGTTCAAAGAATCATTCTGATTCTATTTATAGGAGTTAATAAATGAATTATGTGTCAAATTAAAGCTAAAAGATTGCAATTCACGAATATTTATGGTTATTTATGTTTCAAAGAAAATTCTTTGAGATAATAGAGAAAATCAATTAACATTTTTGACATAACCTAAAATAGAGAATTGAAAAATTTAATAATTCATTCTGATTTTATTTGAAGGAGTTAAAAGATAAATTTGATATCAATTTCAAATTCATCACTATTTTTTAAGAAAGAATCGTTTGATAAATTCCCTTAACTGTCCAATAACTGTATGATTTACCCTAATTAATTAATAACTTTAATTTAAAATTATAAATATAAACAGGTGTGTTTGGGAGATGGTCAATCTTTCGAAGAAGCCCGTGCAAAAGCTTCAATGGAAGCGATGCATTTCTTCCATAAAATAGGGCTTGATAATTTAAATTTGAGCAAAATTAAACAAGAAGAATCTATGTAAGTTAATTGATTTAAAATGATAATTAATTTTAATAAAATCCTTTTTTGTAGTTGGGTAAAATCTCATGAAGAAATTTGCGCCATAGATGATAATAATAATCCTGGACATGAGGATAAAAAAAGTTAAGAATAAATTTTCTTTTTCTTTCTACTTTTCTTCATTAATATATGGTTATTGCATCGTCCGAAGAATATCTCAAACTTGACCAAACTTTGTACGTCATTTTTTATTTCTTAAAAAAAAAATCTAAAAAATAAAAATTTTGTTGTTTTAATTTAGACATTTTATTTTTTTTTACAAATTCAATTAATGTTTTTATTAACCAGTGATGTCTTCGTGATTTTTTCTTCTACGATTCGCCATTCCATTCGTGTAATAATTCTCAAAATCCAACCTAAAAAAATTTAACCCAATTAAAAGATATTCAACAAAAAAAATTATCCTCACCATAACATTTTAATCAAAATCATGCAAAAATTATTTTAATTATTAAGCCATGTTTCTGGTTTATCACCCAAACAGAAAACAATTCTAAGGATATAAATGGGGGGAATTGGGTAAATAAAGGATTTTTATATTTACCTATATAATAAATTGAAGAGTCTTTCATGATCACTACTATCGCGATTCAAGCCATTTATTAATCCCAAAAGATCTAAAAGGTGCTTTGTGAATTGTTCATCAAAAGTTGCAATGTTTTCTGAAAATGTGGCCATTTGAGTTTCATCTGGGATCTCACAAACGCCTAATTCACCCTAGATGTTGAATAAAATCATTAGAATTTTGTTTGTAACGATAAAACCACACTAAATATTCTAATCTACTTAAATTTTATTTATTGAATACCTGTAACATGTGAGTGTCTATATAAGATTGTGGCACAATACCTAACTCAGCTTCTAAATAATGAAGCTGGGCTTGCTGTTAGTAAAACCACCAATTAATTGATTTAAATTAGTTAATATAATCAAAGTATTCTACTAACCTGCATAAACTTGCAAAACGATATACATATAGTTAAAATATTAGTAATCACTTCCAATAAATTCGGAATTGTTAACATGCAATCTCTTAAACAGGCCACTAAAAAATCGCAGTGGCATGTTAAAACTTCATCGACATTATTTACCTAAAAAATGATTTCTATCAATTTAATAATTATAAAAAAATTATTTTATTTTATTACTTTAGCGATGTTATGTAAAAATGATGACCAATGTGGTTCAATAACTTCAACCATCATATGATACTCCAAATTTTGAACGCATTGAATCATACGTTGACGAAGAGCGAAAGCAAATCTGTACTGTTTGGCCGTATGTTCAGCGAATTTCTTCGTCACTTTATTCGCTCTCCACACTTGACACAACATCCTTTCAACATATTTACAGTAAAATAAATGTCGAAAAATCATTTGGTAACAACTCAAAGATCGCCGATTTAAAATTAACGATAAAGGCCAACGTACTTCATAACTAAACGTAAACGATTGTATTCCGTACAATTCATTTTGGAAGTCACTATTCATACAATACTCTAAAAGAAAATTAAAAATATAAAATTTTTTTTAAATTGGTTTGATTTAAACCTTGTTCTGACATAGTTTGAATACTCAATATTTTAAACATTTGAAATTGTAAATCGTAAGGAAGTAATTCAATGCGAAGATCGTCTTTATAAGGATCATTTGTAGCGCTAGATAATCTCAAAGCTAAATCCATAAGCGAATCTAACCTGGCTTGAATAACATCGTTAATATTTTTGCTAAGCTCTTTTTCGCACAAAGATAAAAACGTCACGATAAAATCCCCTTGGTCCAATAAAAAGTAATGTTTAACCGATTTTAATCGTCCCACTAAATCCTGCTCTTTCATTACCAAATCTAACAACGTTTGACTCGCGATTTTATAAGCATTTTCAATCGCTTCAATGTAATGTTTTTCTTCTAATTTATATTCGATTGTTTCGACTTTATGATTTAATGTTTTTCCACATTGACGGATTACGTTTAAATATTTTCCAGCTCGTAGAATTATATCTGAAACGGGTTCGAGAAATGCAGGGATTCGTTCACGACGTACTGTATATTTTTTATCCCAATAATCAGCTGAGTAATCTATTGGCATATCTTCTTTTTGAACCACTTCATTATCTTCAACAAGAAACTAAACAAAGATGTAAATAAAATAAATTGGATAAAAAAAATAAATTACTAATATTAGCACTATCATTAGAAATAGTATTAGAACTGTATTAGCACTAGGTTTAGTATTATCACTAAAACTAACACATCCCTAAGTCTAGCAAATAGTACTAAATCTAGGAATGTGTTAGTTTTAGATCTAGTGTTATCAATGGAACTAACACAGTTCTAGTTTTAGTCACTAGACCTAGGACTGTATTAGTTCTAGATCTGGTGTTATCACTAAAACTAACACAGTCCTAGGTCTAGTATTAGCGTCTAGACCTAGAACTGAGTTCGTTCTAGTGATAACACTAGATCTAGAACTAATACAGTCCTAGGTCTAGCGACTAAAACTAGACCTAGAACTGTTTTAGTTCTAGATCCGGTGTTATTACTAGAACTAACACAGTCCTAGGTCTAGTATTAGCGTCTAGACTAACACAGTGCTAGGTCTACTTTTAGTCCCTAGATCTAGAACTGAATTAGTTCTAGATCCAGTGTTATCACTAGAACGAACTCAATTCTAGGTCTAAACGCTAATACTAGACCTAGGACTGTGTTATCACTAGAACTAACACAATTCTAGGTCTAGAGGCTAAGACTAGACCTAGGACTGTGTTAGTTCTAGTAATAACAACGGATCTAGAACTAACGCAATCCTAACTCTAGTTTTACTCGCTAGACCTAGGACTGTATTAGTGCTAGATCTAGTGTTATCCCTAGAACGAACCCAGTTCTAGGTCTAGAGGTTAAGACTAGACCTAGGACTGTGTTACTTCTAGTAATAACACCAGATCTAGAACGAACTCAGTTCTAGGTCTAGAGGCTAAGACTAGACCTAGAACTGTGTTAGTTCTAGTAATAACACCGGATCTAGAACTAACGCAATCCTAACTCTAGTTTTACTAGCTAGACCTAGGACTGTATTAGTACTAGATCTAGTGTTATCACTAGAACGAACCCAGTTCTAGGTCTAGAGGTTAAGACTAGACCTAGGACTGTGTTACTTCTAGTAATAACACCAGATCTAGAGCTAACACAGTCCTAGGTCTAGTTTTAGTCCCTAGACCTAGGACTGTATTAGTTCTAGATCCAGTGTTATCACTAGAACGAACTCAGTTGTAGGTCTAGCGGCTAAGACTACACCTAGGACTGTTAGTTTTAGTGATAACACCATATCTAGAACTAACACAGTGCTAGGTCTACTTTTAGTCCCTAAACCTAGGACTGTATTAGTTCTAGATCCAGTGTTATCACTAGAACGAACTCAGTTCTAGGTCTAGACGCTAATACTAGACCTAGGACTGTGTTAGTTCTAGTAATAACACCGGATCTAGAACTAAAACAGTTCTAGGTCTAGTTTTAGTCGCTAGACCTAGGACTGTATTAGTTCTAGATCTAGTGTTATCACTAGAACGAACTCAGTTCTAGGTCTAGATGCTAAGACTAGACCTAGGACTGTGTTAGTTCTAGTAATAACACCGGATCTAGAACTAAAACAGTTCTAGGTCTAGTTTTAGTCGCTAGACCTAGGACTGTATTAGTTCTAGATCTAGTGTTATCACTAGAACGAACTCAGTTCTAGGTCTAGATGCTAAGACTAGACCAAGGACTGTGTTAGTTCTAGTGATAACACCAGATCTAGAACTAACACAGTCCTGTATTAGTTCTAGATCCAGTGTTATCACTAGAAAGAACTCATTTCTAGGTCTAGACGCTAATACTAGACCTAGGACTGTGTTATCACTAGAACTAACACAATTCTAGGTCTAGAGGCTAAGACTAGACCTAGGACTGTGTCAGTTCTAGTAATAACACCGGATCTAGAACTAAAACAGTCCTAAGTCTAGTTTTAGTCGCTAAACCTAGGACTGTATTAGTTCTAGATCTGGTGTTATCACTAGAACGAATTCAATTCTAGGTCTAGATGCTAAGACTAGACCTAGAACTGTGTTAGTTCTAGTAATAACACCAGATCTACACAAAACTAACCGTCATACGTCTAGTTTTAGTGGCTAAACCCTGAGACTGTGTTAGTTCTACATCTAGTGTTAACAATTGAACTTACACAGTTCTAGGTCTAGCCACTAAAACTAGACCTAGGACTGTATTAGTTCTAGATCTCGTGTTATCACTAGAACTAACTCAGTCCTAGGTCTAATCTTAGCCTCTGGACTGTGTTAGTTCTAGTGATAACACCAGATCTAGAATGAACTCAGTTCCAGGTCTAGTGGAGGCTAACACTAGACCTAAGTCTAGCCACTAACATAGTTCTAGGTCTAGTTTTAGTCACTAGCCCTAAGACTGTGTTACTTCTAGATCTAGTTCTAGATTAGTACAACTAACACATTTCTAGGTCTAGTATTAGTTCTATATCTAGTGATAGCTTTAATATTAATGCTAATTTTAGTTTAATAAAGACTGGCTATAAAACCCAGTATACTTATAATTACTAACTTCTTTTATTGGATCTGTAATAATTCCTTTATAAATCCACATCCCTAACATCTTCATATAAGGGACACAAGCAGCTTGCATAAGTTGCACACATAAATTTTGAGCTTTATAATCACCAGAAAACCCAGAAATTTGTTCATGTAATAAACTTAAAACTTTTCCACCAATTGAATCAGACTAAAAGAAAAAATCAAATTACCTCAAATACACAATCCTAAAACCAAAAAAACTCACTTTATTAATAGTTGTAGCTATATTACTAATAATCCCTAAGGAATGAATTTTATTTTGAAGATAAAACCACATTTTATGCAGATTCAAATTCTCTGAACGAAATTCTGTTTCAATTTGTGTAAGAAATAACTAAAAATTTTTTAAATAAAATTAATTAATCACAAATATAAATTGTTATCCTTACCATATACTCAACAACCAACCCAGACATACACTCGGCTAAAGCGTTATTAACTTGTCCGTATTCGAACCTCATCTTTTCCTCGATAAATCTCTGGATAATGGAATAATGTGAAGCTAGCGGTAAAATTTGTTTTATTAATCCCTTTAATGGTGGATCAATATTTTCGTTAATAGCAAATTCGCGGTTATCATAAGGACCTTTAAGATCAAGGGCTTCAATATAACACCCGGGAAGCCCCATTAAAATATTTAAAAGATCTTCAATTAACATGCTTTCTTGCGAAGATGGTGGAATGTTTGTTATGGGATTAGTCCCACAAATTTGCATGGTAGATCTAGAAAAATCCCATGACATAGTAGGTCTACGCTGTACCCAAGAATTCATTGAAGGAGTTGTAGCCGTTGGAAGGCCAGTTGTGTTTAAAATCTGCCTATTTAAATTAACACAAGTTGCTGAGGGCATTGTGATAGCTTTTTTAAGTTTGTTTTTAACCGTTGGTAAATCTGTTAGTGTTAAAGGACTGACTAGGCTTGTTGATGATGAGATTGTGGGGTTAATGCAAGTTTTCGATAGGAGTTCTTTTCCAGGAGCATCTTGAGAGATTAAATACATTAAATGAACATATCCACTTAAACAATCGACACTAAAATAATAAATTAATTCATAATATAAAAAAGTTAAAACTAACATACTTTTTTTGTTTTAATTCTTCATATTTGCTTAAAAAAGCTTGCGGGTTCGAGCAAGACTCTGCAAATTCATGAACTTCATTTTGATATCCTATCTGCGAGGAAGACGCTAAAGGAGCCCTTGTGATATGTTTTTCGAGATAATCAGCAAGTTCTTCTGGATTAGCCTTTGAACTATTGATTAACAATATTAAATGTATTTTATGATTGATAACTTAAAAATTTACTTGGTTAACGTTAAAAGTTCCTTAACTAAATGATGTAACTTAAATTCACTCATTATGGATAATGATTTACGTTCAACGGAGATATTTGCGAAATATATTCAAAAATTTAGTTATGGAACGAAACTTAACCTCACTTTTTCTTTTAAATATAAATGTCAACTTCAAAACATTTTAAACGTTTCAAATCAATATGAACGCCATCTAGTTTAATTTCAAATAATAATAAATTTATTAAATTTAATGTTATAATTTATTTATGTTTTTTTGTAAGACTTTAAAACGATTTATTTTAATACAATAAGAAATATTTCTTTAAATAAAGCTTATTAAATTAAATTTGATTTATTATTAATTTGAGTGACATCTATTCGTGATTTTATTAATTCGTCATAACCTCACTTTTTCTGTTTAAATTAGATTGGAAAATTCAAAATATGTTAGTATAATGAGTACTGTTGATCTTTTAAAGAATGAACGATCTGGGAATGTTCGAGAAATCGGGGGACAAGCAATTTGGAGCTTATCAACTTGTAAACTTGGTGATAAATGCTCTAAAATTTGGAGTAAATTTTTAAACTATGTTTATCGTTAAGGATTTGATGTGGAACAATTACGAGATGATGGAATAGATACATATTGGTAATCGGATAATTGCCACATTTAGTGAATATACTGTTTTAATTCTAGTGATAACACCAGATCTAGAACTATCACAATTCTAACTCTAGTTTTAGTCGCTAGACCTAGCACTGTATTAGTTCTAGATCTAGTATTATCACTAGAACGAACTCAGTTTTAGGTCTAGAGGCTAAGACTAGACCTAGTGTTATCACTAGAACTAACACAGCCCTAGGTCTAGTTTTAGTGGCTAAACCTAGGACTGTGTTAGTTCTAGATCTAGCGTTTTGTTTGACTTTAAAATTAACTTGGTTAACGTTAAAAGTTCCTTAACTAAATGATATAACTTAAATTCACTCATTATGGATAATGATTTACGTTCAACGGAGATATTTGTGAAATATATTCAAAAATTTAGTTATGGAAGGAAACTTAACCTCACTTTTTCTTTTAAATAATAATGTCAACTTCAAAACATTTTAAACGTTTCAAATTAATATGAACGCCATCTAGTTTAATTTCAAAAAATAATAAATTTATTAAATTTAATGTTATAATTTATTTATATTTTTTTGTAAGACTTTAAAATGATTTATTTTAATACAATAAGGAGTTGTCTTTAAATGAAACTTATTAAATTAAAAAATTAATTTGATTTATTATTTATTTGAGTGCCATCTATTGGTGATTTTATTAATTTGTCATAACCTCACTTTTTCTGTTTAAATTAGATTGGAAAATACAAAATAAGTTAATATAATGAGTACTGTTGATCCTTTAAAGAATGAACGATCTGGGAATGTTCGGGAAGTCGGGGGACAAGCAATTTGGAGCTTATCAACATGTAAACCTGGTAATAAATGTTCTAAAATTTGGAGTAAATCTTTAAATTGTGTTTATTGCTAAGGATTTGGTGTTGAACAATTAAGAGATGATCGAATAGATACATATTGGCAATCGGATGGTCAACTGCCACATTTAGTGAATATACAATTCCAAAGAAAAACAACAATCAGCGACATTTATATTTATACCGATTATAAGCTTGATGAAAGTTATACTCCAAGTAGAATTTCAATACGTGTGGGTACTCATTTCAATGATTTACAAGAAATTGAAGTTATTATGTTAACAGAACCTTCTGGTGGGTGTTTTTAATGTTTTGATTTATTAAATAAGTTTATTTTTTTAAGGATGGGTTCACATTCCAATAAAAGATATTAAAGAACAACCAGTTCGTATGTTTATGATTCAAATAGCAGTTACAAGTAATCATCAAAATGGGAGGGATACTCATATGAGACAAATTAAAATTCACAGTCCCACAAATGGACAAGGATTTTCTATTGATAAGTGTAATAATTTCACTAGCTTAGAGTTTCAACAAGTTTCAACAATACGATAAATAAGAATATTTTTTTAAAATTTTGTATTCATAAAAACTGGTTCTTGATAGAACACGTGTTTCCTTTTACACCATTTCAGTTCCATCCCTGTGCTCAAAACGAACGAGATAAAACGAAAAATGTTTAAATTCATCGCGTTTTTAAACCTACTTTTAGTGTTTAACACTAAATTAAAAAATGTTAAAGCTGGTGATAATGTGTTATTAGCTGAGAATTTGTTTGTTAATTTATATAGTGATCCCTATTTTAAAGGTAACTTAATTGTTTTAATATTAATTAGTTGTTAATTGTAAATGAGTTTTATTATTAGATGGAAAATTATCGAATTTTTCCAAGAAATACATCGATGATAAAGTGGAAACGTTTTTGGGTTTAATGCGACACAAAGATGGTTTCCAACATTCTTTGAGAAAAAGAAGTTTGAATGAAAAACGTGATTTTGATGGTAAGTTTTTTTTTATTGTTCGTTTTTATCGACACCAAATAAATCTTTAAATATATAAGCACATTGATATCGTTCCAAATATTTATAAAATTCCCCCATATCCATATGATTAGCGCGCATTCCATGATTTGTGAACGAAACTTCTTCGAAATTATTAAATTTTTTACTTTTTGCATCTTCGGTAACTTTACAAAAAATCCTTTTCCAATTCATCGATTTAATGCGAGACCACCACTCATCGCAATCTCCTTTAAAACCTTCAACGCAAATAACACCAGGTTTTCCAGCCATACAAAAACCGGTTATCCCTAAATCATTAGCTAAATTTAAAATTTCTTTACGTTTAGTTTTACTGTAAATGTGATGCGAATAAATCCAATATCGAATTAATTTATCTTCGCGAATTTTAATTTCTTTCTCTTCCACCTTTTCTTCTTCCTCGAAATAATTTAATCCTTCTTCTTGAAGCCACGAAACCGCGTTAAAAATACACGGTTCGCCAACGCATTTCGATAAATACTCGTTCAAATCTTTATTTAATTTCGTATGGAGAATCCTGTTGATTTTATTGTTTCTTACGAATACATCCGGTTCTATTTCCGGGTATTCGTGAGGAAGGTTTATGCACAATTCGTATTTATTTGTAGCGATTTCTAAATTTATTGTGAAATCGATAAATGGTGGGGTTTTATCAGTGGGATCATTTAAAAATTGTTTGATTTCTTCCAGTGCTTTTGGATCTTCTATTTTTAATTCTCCGGGATTAAACATTGATTGTAACATTTCCATTTCGGAAATTTGTGCGTCTAAATTTGCTTTTAACGATTCCATTTTTCTTTTTATCTAAAACAAAAAGGAATTTGATGTATATTACAATATTTATAAGAATATAATTGATTGATATTATTATAAGGGATAAATGTTGGAGTATGAGCTTCTTCTACAGTCTCTTTGTTAACACTATTATTCCCGTAACTCACTATCTGTTGCTGTTTTATTATTACTTTGCTCTGTGGTGATATAGTTGGATCAACAAAATTCACAAATGAACACAAAAAACTAGGAATATAACAAAAAATAAATGATTGGAGGGATAAATCATGATTCCGGACTTAATAGTATATTATTATACGAGCATATAATAATTTTTTTAAATACATTTTTGATTAAAGTTTAAACGTCAATGTGACACAAATTCAATGTTACCAACTGTAATCAACTTCACAACAATTTGTCAAAATTAAATGTCAATTTTATGAAACGTCATGTTTTTTTACAAAAATTTATTAATTTTTGCTTAAATCATAGGAAAAAAGGAATTTGTTTACGTTTTCTTAATGCCAAACCTTTAGAAAGGTAAAAAATTAAATAAAATTTACGTTTTTTAAAATTTTGACATTTCAAATAATTATTATTAGTCTGTCAAGTTGATTAACCGTGAGTAATGATAATGATTATTCACTCTGTGAAAAATGTCTTCCCCTTTATTTCAATAATAATATATTTATATTATTATATTATTATTACGTTACATTATATAACGATGAGAAGATAGTTACAAACGTATATTTTAGGTTTTAAGGTTTTTTTCGGCAGGTGGCGCTATCTTCTATGCGTCTTAAAGTGACATTTTTTGGCGTTTCATTAAAAGAAATTTATTTAACTTTGATTTAACTCATTTTGCGTTAGAAATAAAACTAAAACTAGAAATTTTGAGGTTATGCCGTGCGTCATCTCATCTCTAAAATTTCTAGTTTTATTTCTTATTCCATCCGCAGTAACGGTTGTGAAAAATGTCACTTGAAAAAGTGAGGTTAGGTTGGGTTGAAAAAGTACTTCGAAGACGTTGGCCGAGTTTACTTTTTGTGGCTGTTTCTTATGAATCGCTAATATGAAAGAAAATCTTCGAGGACACACTGAGTGAGTAAAATAAATTTTTTTTAATGAAACGTCAAAAACAGTCACTTGGAAAAGTGAAGTTAGATTTAATTGGAAAAGTGAGGTTGGGACGAACAAAAATAACACATTTCCCAGCACAGTTTTAAGGGTTTTAAGCTAACACGGCCGGTTTCGAAGACATCGGCCGCCCCCGAGAACACGAAATGTTCATTCTCACAAATGCGAGTAAAGATCCAACTCAATGTTTTAGCGCCCGCGATGATTGGGGGCGGCCGATGTATTCGAAAACGCCCGTGTTAGTTTAAAGTTGTGCTAGAGAATGATGTTGAGGATTTTTAATCGCACTTTTCCAACACAACCTAACCTCAATTTTTCAAATGACATTTTTTTGACGTTTCATTAAAAAAATTTATTTTACTCACTCAGTTTTGGAAATAAAACTTAAAAGAAATTTGCGTCATAGAAGTTCGTTTTAGTCACTGGTACACGTTTTAAGTTATAAAAAAAATCAAATAGTAATTCGTGTTTATGGTGGTTCTAAATTAGGTTAAAATATTAGATATGATGAGAAGATAGGTACAAAGTTATATTTTAAGGTTTTTTTCGGCAGGTGGCGCTATCTCCTATGCGTCTTAAAGTGACATTTTTTTGACGTTTCATTAAAAGCAAATTTATTTAACTCATTTTGCGTTAGAAATAAAACTAAAACTAGAAATTTTGAGGTTATGCCGTGCGTCAAAGACTTTTGCTATTTTTATATTGATGTACTATTTGTTTAGGAATTCGTATTGGTAAGTATTTTGCTTCATTGTTCTAAAATGTTTTATGCCATAATTCATTCTAAATATATCGGGCATCTTTACTCCTTTCTTGTATCCTTGCTAATATCTTTAGGAATACTCTTCTATCCCACTCCCTATTTTCAGTATTTTCCCTATACCATTTCGCCAAATTTTCAATAGTTTTAATAATTATGTTCGAGTCTTCTATGATGTTATTAAGAATGAATTTTGTATCTTATCACATTTTTATACAATAATGATATTTTTGGGTCACTACACCACTTTGCTGAACACAATGATTTAATCATGTTTTGTCCAATTGTAATATTTTTACTAGCAACATTGATTGAAATTCTTTTGTAACTGGTTATTAAATTTCTCTTTGCGTTTTCTGGCATGTTCTTTATCATTGAATATGTTATGGTATCATTTTTTTGCCGTAAATAACATTTCTGAATTCCTCTAATCTTATGGGGTCTATGATATCTGATTTTTATCGATTGTATATTTTGTATTCAGGACTTCTCTCTCTTCTGGTACATACAGAGGACACATTTCATTGGGCTTCTTAAATACTGTATTATTATACATATATCTTTATAGTTTTCCATCTTATCACCAATTTCTACAATTTAGTTTCTATTTTCTAGATAACTAATTTTATATTTTCCTATTTTTTCAGATTTTTACATTTTAGAAGATTTTAAACCACTAAATACTTGGAATAAAACATTCCTCGATACAATTCTTTTTGGAAATAACAAAAACGCTGATTATTTCTATTTTGCAAGTTTAGAACAAACCGAAAACGATGAAACAAAATTGGAGCTTTCGCTTTATAATAATAACTCATTTAATTCCATTTTCGAAGAAACGATTTTGGCGAATAAATTATTCTCAGCGTCGAATCGAGATGGAACTTTTTTAATTGTTAGTGAGCCGTTTAAAATTTATGTGTATGAAATTAAAGGTGAAAACATCCGGAGATTGCAAACGTTGGAAATCGATTCGATAAGCGATATATCTTTGTGGAATAATAAATATGGGTTTTTTATGGGTGTATCAACGAATAAAACGCGACTTGGTGTTTGTAAAGTTTATAAATGGTTTGGGAGACATTTTGATCTTGTGGATGAGCTTCAAAGTGTTGGGGCTTCGAGTATTGGAGCTTTCACGATCGGTTCTAATGAATTTATTGTTGTTGGGAATCAAATGAATGAGTTTCAACAAAAAGAAATGTTTTCTTATGTTTATAAATACGATTTGGAGTCGGAAAGTTACGAAATTAACCAAAAACTCGCTACTTATGGCGTTAAAAAAATACGATTTGTTAATTTTATGAAAGAAAATTTTTTGGTTGTTGTTAATTCCCAAAAAGATGATGTTAAAAACTTTCACACTGTTGTTATTTATAAATTCATCGATGATTATTTTATGCCATATGAAGGTTTTGAGTTGGAGGAACCCAACGATGTTTTTCTCATCTCAGAACCCAACCGAAATAATTTATTAGGAATTTTTAGCCAAAATAAAAAAACTTTGGTGATTTATTCTTACGATGGATGGATTTTTAAAAAAATAAAATCAAAAAATTTAGAAGCAACCTCGTTAAAAGTCACAAAATTTTCCAATCAAACCGTTTTAAGTACGATTCATTTCATTTTTGACTTTTTAATTAAATCGTTTTTTTTTAGTAACTCAAGAACAAACCCAATTAATAATTTATAACCTAACATTTACAAAAGAAACGACTTTTAAAAACGTTGAAGATGATTTATTGAATTGGTGCCAAACTCAAATCAACGTTAAAGCCCCAATAAAGAAAAAAATTCAAGAAGTAACTTCCGGATCGACCCCAACTGAAACTGATGCAGCTAGAACTTCAAATAAAATGAAAAATTATCGTTTCAATAACAACGAAGATATCTTCGATTCCCTTGATTTAGAGTTATCGAAAGAATTGGAGAGGCTAAACGATATATCAAAAACGATCGAAATAAATCAAAACGAATTAATTATTAAAACCGATTTAATCGTTGATGAATTAATTATAAACGGGGCGATCAATATGAACGAGTTAAAATCGAACGAGATTAATAACGAGTTAATTGAACCGATTTTAAACGATTTAATTGATTTAAATGTTTTAAGCAACTTAGAAAAATTTCAATTTGAAAATGTTTTAATCGAAGATAGTCCAAACTTTTTAAACGGAAACAACAAAAACGATTTATTAGATTACAACAAATTAGAAGGTTTAAAAAATATCGAAATTAAAAATGTTTCAGTTGAAAATATCAACGTAATTAATATAAACGATATTAATTTACTTAATTTATTAATTAATGCCGAAAATCAAACCTTTAATAAACACCTTGAAATTAATAACTTAAAAGGAAATAACATAAACATTTTAAGCGATATAAACAACAATAAATGTTCGTTTAAAGTGAACCAATTAAATCAATTAAACGTTGAAGACTTAAAACTCGATTACCTCAACGATATTGACGCTAAAAAATTAATAAAAAATGAAAATTTAACTAAATTATTTGTCGATACTTTAATTTCAAAAACAATCAATATTAAAAACAATTCCTCGATAGATAATCTCGTTAATATTGCGAATAACGAATTTAAATTCGTTTCTTTGAATTTTAACGATGTCGAAATGAACGATTTAGAAATTATCGAAAATTTAAATGAAATTAATGTTATTGATGGTAAATTAGATGTTAATATCAAACAAGATTTTTCTTTAAATAACGAAACGGTTGTTTTTATTGATGGATCGTATGAAATTAAGGATGATTTCGATTTAAATGGGAATTTAAATGTTCGAAGTGTTGATGTAAAAAATATTAAAACGAAACGATCGATTTTTGGACTTGGCGATCTTGAAAAAGCTTTTAAACTTAATGAAATTGTTATTAATGAGACGGTTTATTTTAATAATATTGAGGTAAGTTGAAATATATTGGATAATAATTTAATGCTGAATAATAACTAAAATTAGAACTAATACTAGATCTAGAACTAGAAACTTAATATTTATAGTTCCTGTTCTAGGTTCACTATTTTCTATCTCGTACTTTGCTTATCTCGCATTTTTAGACTTTCTTCAACCTGGTCCTTATATCTGCTGCCAAGTCTGCCTCTCTTATGGGTTCCAAAAACTGTTTGGCGGAACATTTGCTTTGGGGGTTCTTTGCCATCCATCCTTTCTAGCTGGCCGGCCACCTTAACCTATTGATTTTGATGTTGTAATACAATGTCCATAATACATCTTGTATTATGTTTATTTCTGTTTTTTCATCGTTTCCAGTTCAAACTTTTCTAAGATGTGATTACTACCTGGAAAAGCAATTGATGGATTGTTTGGACATAATTTAGTTTCTAATCATTTCCTGGTAGCATATAATTTTCTGTCAGCAATGCCAAGTCTTCTATTATTAGTATTTAGTCTTCTCCAAAAAATATTTTATCTTTTACAACCAGTATTTGGTCTTCTGTAAGCAGTACTTAGTACTGCGTAAAGGTGGCTACACACGTAACTGCAAACTTGACAGGTATGCATAATCAATCTTTTTGTACAAGTATGCTTTAGCGTATGTAGGATAATTTTGCACAAACATTTTGTTTGTGCAATCCGCTTGATGATGGATTGAATTTTAATCACGCAAGCTTGCGCAAGCGAAACCGCACGTGTGTACCAAGCACACTGCTTGACGTGTGGGATTTCTCCCTATGTGTAGGGATTTTACAACCTAAAAATGGCGTAGGGAGGTTTTCTTTAATTTACGAAATATGTAGGGATATTTGCCAATAATAGTAGGGGTTGTAATCTGAGATCCCACATCGCATTTAAATAGAGAGCATGAGAGTTAAATAAGTTTAGAATTGAGATTCTAACCTCACTAGTCCAAACGCAAACTAGCGCTTGTTCAAGCGTACTTGTATCGTGTGGTGTCGAAGGTAAATTTTACATGCTTGTACAAAAAGATTGATCATGCATGCTTGCCAAGTTTGCAGTTCCTTTAGCATTTAATCCTGTTCCAGCAATACCAAGTTTTCTGCAAGCAATATTTAGTCTTCTACAAGCATTAAGTAACCTTCTGTTATGTCTAACCCTGTGCCAGTAGTACCTCTTCTTTTCCCACCAGTGTCTTGTCCGCTGTAAGTGACTAGTCTAAAATACTATAATAGTATTTTCTAGATATTCTAGTATTTGATCTAAAAGAGGGAGGAAGTTATACTGTCCGCGATGCCATGAAATAAAACTCATGTCTGAGATGGTTATGCACAACATTTTTCTCGTACTCCAAGTGTCCCACCGTCTAGCTCTCCATCCATGTGGTGTCTTATCTTTGCTGGTCTGTCTCCTGTTATTCCAATCATGCTATGCTCTCTGCTTTTTCATGCAATTTTTATGTGTCGTACTATGTCTGCATCATCTATGAGCTGGTCCAATTCATTGTTATTCACCACATTCCAACACCATCTCGTATCGATACGACTAATAACGGCTAAACCCGACTAATTCTAGTACTAGAATGAACAGTTGACCTAGAACTAGAAACATTCGGGTTTAGCCGAACGTCCCTTAAGACGGCTAAACCCGAATGTTTCTAGTTCTAGGTCTAATGTTAGTTCTAGTGACAGTGCAAGTGTAAAACTAATAGAACTAGTTCGGGTTTAGCCGCACGTCTCTCAAGGCGGCTAAACCCGAATGATTCTAATTCTAGGTCTTGTGCTAGTTCTAGTGATGGTGTAAAACTAGAACTAACACTAGTCCTAGAACTAGAAACATTCGGATTTAGCCGCACGTCTCTCAAGACGGCTAAACCCGAATGATTCTAGTTCTAAGTCTTGTGTTGGTTCTAATGATGGTGTAAAACTAGAACTAACACTAGACCTGGAACTAGAAACATTCGGATTTAGCCGCACGTCTCTCAAGACGACTAATCCCGAATGATTCTAGTTCTAGGTCTTGTATTAATTCTAGTGATAGTGTAAAACTAGAACTAACACTAGACCTAGAAACGTTCGGGTTTAGCAGTCTTAAGACACGAACGGCTAAACCCGAATGATTCTAGTTTTAGTGTTATTTAGTGTATAAACTAACACTAGCACTAGAATTAACACTTGACTTAGAACTAGAAACATTCGGATTTAGCTGAACGTCTCTTAAGACGGCTAAACTCGAATGTTTCTAGTTCTAGCTCTAATGTTAGTTCTAGTGACAGTACAAGTGTAAAACTAGAACTAACACTATACCTGGAACTAGAAACATTTGGGTTTAGCCGCACGTCTCTAAAGACGGCTAAACCCGAATGATAACGAATATAAGTAACAGTGCTAGTGTAAAACTATTATTATTATTATTGTTTTATGAGACATACGGGTTTAGCTGTACGTCTCTAAACATAACGTATTAATTTTAATTAAAACTTTTATTTTAGATTGAAAATATAAACACCTCCTTTATAAACAACATCTCAACAAATGATTTAAAAAATAACCAAAATTGTTCCATATCCGGATTAAAAATAATTAATTCTGATCTAATTATAAATGAAAATTCAAAAATAAAAAAAATTAATGGATTTCATTTGGAGGAATTCGATAAAACCGTTTTGACTGTTAATGGAGATCAAATTTTAAATGGAGATTATTTTGTAAATAAATTAACATCAGATAGGTAAAAATAATTTAAATTAATTAATTGTCTCATATTAATAATTTCTTGGTAATTAGCATCCAATCCCAAAATATTTTGATCGGAAATACACCTTGGTCTACAATCTCCGAAAGCACAACGAAAATAAACGTCACAATCCATTTAGATTCATTAGAACTCAAAAAATCTTTCATCGAAAATTTAACAACGACGAATTTAAATGATATAAATCTAAAAAATCTTTTTGATTCACTTTTAAATGATTCAAATTTATCGGGGGATATCACCTTTAACAGTGTTTACGCAAAAAATGTTACGAGCAAAAATCATTTTGATACTCAAATAATACCTGGTTTAATCAACAAGATTAGAAGCAATTATAAGATTGAAACCGATTTGGATTTAGACGAAATTAACGTTGAAAATGTAAACGTAAAAGGATTTATTAACGATATTAACGCGGATTCTTTCAAAAAACTTTGGTTACAAGATGCTGATGAGCATCTTTTTGAAAATGAAGAAACATTAAATAATGTAATAATTTTAGGAAAAGGTGAAATTAAAGGAAGACTCAATGATTTTGATTTAGAAGAATTATTTGAGAGTATTGTTAAAATCGATGAAAATCATCAATTCGATGATGTTACTTTTGAAGATCGATTAATTGCGCTTAATTTAATTAATCTACAAGGAAATATTGTTGGTTTAGATTTAGATTCAGCTATAACAGTACGAGAAACACAACAAGAAATATCGGGATTAAAAATTTTTGAATCCCCACTTATCATTAATGGATCATTAAATTTCGACGGCGAAATAAACGGGGTGAAACTCGAAAATATCTGCGAGATTTTATCCAAAGAAAAAGTTTATAACCTTATTATAAACGGCAACGCTAATTTTACAAAAGGTCCAAATATCGAAACGATCAACAATAAATCTTTAATCCATCTTTTAAATAACGTTTGGTTTAAAAATCGTCCAACCCAATTAAACGGTTACTTTAAATTCGTAAACGTTTCCTTTCAAAGCGACGTCAAAATTAAAGGAAATTTCAACGAAATCAACTTAAAAAATTTAATTAATAATTATTTCAGCATAACCAAAAATCAAACCATTTCAAGCCATCTTGATTTCACGAAAGGCCTCAATTTCTTTAAAAATTTAACCGCCGAAGAAATACTTTTAGCCGGTTCAATCTCCGGCGTTCGTTTAAAAGATATAATCGGAAAAGCCCTTTTAGATGGTTACACCCAAGTTTTTGACGAAACTTTTTATGGGGACAAAATCGTTGTGGATGAATTAAACGGAGAGTTCTTATTAAACGATTTAGATCTACAAAAACAAATAATGAGATACGATTTGGAAACATTTGTGGAAGGGAGGAAAGAATTTTTGAATTTAACAGTTCAAAATTTGGTTGTATCTAAAGATTCTTTAATTCAGAATGTTAATTTTACGAAATGGGTTGAGGAAGCTGTTATGAAAGATGGGGGGAAATTAGAACAATGTATATTTGAGGATGATGTTAGTTTTAAAAAACAGTTAAGGTAAGATTTATTTAAATTGAATAATTTTGTATATGTTGTCTGAAAAACCGAGGCAGCTATGCTGCCGAGGCAATGGCTCAAATATTACAATTCAATAAGTAAGGGTTCCTATACAACGGTAATGTATCATTAAAAACCGAGGCAGCTATGCTGCCGAGGCAGTGGCTCAAATATTATAATTCAATAAGTAAAGGTTCCTATACAACGGTAATGTATTATTAAAAACCGAGGCAGCTATGCTGCCGAGGCAGTGATTCCAGTATTATAATGCAATAAGTACAGGTTCCTATACAACGGTAACGTATTATTAAAAACCGAGGCAGCTATGCTGCTGAGGTAGTGGCTAAAGTGTTATAATGCGATAAGGAAAGGTTTCTATGCAACGTTAACGTATCATCAAAAACCGAGGCAGCTATGCTGCCGAGGCAGTTACCCAAATATTACAATTCAATAAGTAAAGGTTCCTATACAACGGTAATGTATTATTGAAAACCGAGGCAGCTATGCTGCCGAGGCAGTGATTCCAGTATTATAATGCAATAAGTACAGGTTCCTATACAACGGTAACGTATTATTAAAAACCGAGGCAGCTATGCTGCTGAGGTAGTGGCTAAAGTGTTATAATGCGATAAGGAAAGGTTTCTATGCAACGTTAACGTATCATCAAAAACCGAGGCAGCTATGCTGCCGAGGCAGTTACCCAAATATTACAATTCAATAAGTAAAGGTTCCTATACAACGGTAATGTATTATTGAAAACCGAGGCAGCTATGCTGCCGAGGCAGTGATTCCAGTATTATAATGCAATAAGTACAGGTTCCTATACAACGGTAACGTATTATTAAAAACCGAGGCAGCTATGCTGCTGAGGTAGTGGCTAAAGTGTTATAATGCGATAAGGAAAGGTTTCTATGCAACGTTAACGTATCATCAAAAACCGAGGCANTAACTAATCTAATACTGTCAACCAAGACAGTTTAGACATTTAATGCATAATACGTCAAAAACATGATGTGTAGAAATACCGTACAGCGACCAGAAACATGCTGCTTATCATCATACTCATCACAAAAGCTGCTTTTTTACATCAGCTGTGTCCGCTGACCGCGCCCATTATTACTAATATATATATGTATTAGTAAGCCGAAATAGCGAAGTCTTAGAGGCAGCGATTTAAGTGTACTTAATAATAAGTAAAGGTTTCTATACTGCATTAACCTACTATCAAAAACCGAGTCAGCTATGTTGTCGAGGCAGTGGCTGAAGTATTATAAAATAATAAGTAAAAGTTTTTACTTTTATATGTACAGGGTGAGCAAATTTGGGTGTTATTATAGGCTATCTCAGAAACTATAAGAGATACGAAAAAAGTAGGTGCCATGTATCGGTCTCTTTTTCCAAGATTAATCTAATCCCGCAAAGACCAAACCTCTATCTTCTTTTGTTTTTAAGTTATAGCCAAAAAGTCAAATATCCGCTGTTTCAAAAAATGCTCATATTCCGTTTATTTTTGAAATTAATACATTCTTAAGACATTTTTTTTGAGTAGAATATACTGCCGTTGAAGAATTTTAAGCATAGCTGATAATTTTTGAGATATAACATAAAGTGGTCTTCTATCTGACATATTTTTGAATGATTTAGAACATAAGATCTTAAGTAACGACAACACCAACAACAACAAAAACATTGTATTATGGCGTAGATATATGGACGATATTCTAGTTATCTGGGATAATAACAACAACATAAACACAATAGAGCATTTTCATAAATACATAAACACTTTACTTAAAAATATGAAATTTACACTTGAGTTAGAAAACAATAATCAACTAAACTTCTTAGATTTGACTTTGATCAATAAAAATGAAGATATTCAATTTAAAATTTATAGAAAACATACACAAACAGACACTATTATCTATTATACCTTATAATTCGTTTTATCATAATTCTTACAAATATTCAGCTTTTAGAGCATACATACACAGATATCTTAACACTCCTTTAATACCTATAGAAAAAACTTATGAAATAAATACTACTAAAAAAATAGCTCAAAATAACAATTTTCCACATAACTTCATTGATATATTAATTAACAAAATAAATTTCAAACAACAAATTATCACCTCCACTAGTCTACAAAATATCAACACTTACAATCAAATTTTAACTCCGCTACCCAGTTTATGATCCCTAACCTTCCTCTATCTCACCCAATTTCAAAAGAAAAGGATGCTAATATGAAAAAACTTCTAAATCTTATGTTTGGGGAAAATTGGGAAAATACTACAGAAGATTTCATTCATTGATACCCAACTGTTCTAACCTTACAACCAGTAAGTTTAGTAGAAGAACATGACATAGTCTGTGACTGTTTAGTTCCTGAAGTTGTTGTTCATATTTAATTGTTCACTAATTAATACGTTTCTTGTGTTTTAAATAAACAAACTTTATCTACTAATCATTTTTTATTGGTGAACAAAGTCAGGGTTTTTATTCGTTGGTACAAAACCAACTTTATTCTGTCATATTCGTGCAAAACCATATAGCAATTAGGTAGTATTTACTCGAACCCGCCTACTATAATCAAAATTTTGAACTTTAGCGCCTACTATTTTGGAATTGAAAATTAACGCTTCTTTTCCGCAAATACACCATAACATCATACAGCTAAAAATATGCTCTTTTTAGTAACATCATAATCAACTATAGTTTGTATTTAAAAAAATACAATTTAGTGTTGTATCTCAAAAATCATCAAGTAGTTTTCTTCATTCTAGTTCAAAAAGTATCTTGAGAACATATCAACCTCATTTCTCTAATTTCAAAAATAAACGAAATATGAGCATATCTTGATATCGCGAAAATTTTAATACTAACCTTACCCAATATTCTTTCTTAGGTTCATTGACATTTGTAAACAAAACATGTTATGTAAATATGTTATGTTTGAACTCGTTTCAAAAGAAATTTTAGACTTTAACAAAAATTAGAACTAAAATTTTTTTGATTTTAGCGTTATTGGAAATGTTAATGGAAAAAAATTCAACAACCAAACTGTTCTTATTAACAATTTAAACCAAACAATACTTGGAAAGATTGTTTTAGAATCAAACGCAACTTTTACCGAATTAGAATTAAAACATCTAAATGGCGTTGATTTCGAGTTGTTCTTAAAAGAAATTGTAAGTCATTTTTAATACAATTTAAATTAATTTTTTGATTTTTTACTTTTAGGTTCAACTCAACGAGAATACAAAAATTAACTCAAAAATCGCTTTTAACTCTTTACTAAGCACCGATAACTTAGAAATTAAAAAATTATATAATCAAGTTAATATTGGGGATTTATTAACAAACATAACATCGTTTAACTTTGATAATTTCAATACAGATTATAACCAACTGGTTAATATTTCGAGGCAACTCCAATATTCTTTAGATAGTACACAAAAATATCTTCATCATTACGAGCTAATTCGAGGATTTAATAACGTTATTAACTTCGAATTATTTAATAATCTTTTAATTTTAACAGATACCAATCATATTTATTTATATGGTTGGGATTCATTAAAAAATACGTTTGTTTTAATTAAAGATTTTGAACACAATGTTATATTTATCGGAAAAATTTTAATTGGGGATCAATCTTATTTATATTCACAATACCATCAATTTGGTAAGTTAAAATTTTTCGTTTTTCAATCTAATTTTTTTTAATTACAGCTGATATAAGTAAATTAACTGAAGAAAACGAATTTGAAATAGTTGAAAAATTAATTATAACAAATACAAATTCAATTTATAACTTAAAAATAGCCGAAAAAAATATTTATTGTTCCCTTTTTTCGTCTCATTACAATTCTGAATTATATTGTAAAGAAAAAGATCAATTTCAACAAAAACAAACGTTCAAGTCAATCGAAAAGGCTTCTTCTCTTATTATGAATGGTGAAACATTTTTAATAACATCAAATTCTCAAAGAACTGATAATTTCGTCACGATACTTCAATATAATAAAGATTTCAGCCGCTTTGTTACAATTCAACGTATTTATATAGTTTCCCCTTGTAGTATTACATCTATTTCTTATAAACAAGCTCATTATTTAGCAATCACATCAAGCCACATTGAGGATGCTATTTATTCAGGATCGGTTCACATCAAATGGTAACACAAACAAAATTAATCAAAAATCTTGATTTTAATTTTTATTTTAGGTTCCATCCTAATATAGAAATGTTCGTTTCTTATCAATTAATCGATATAAATTCCCCGATACAAGTCGAATTTGCGATTTTACCGTCAAAAGAATTGGTTCTTTATGTTCTTACCAGATCTGGATCACTTTTAATTTACGAACATGAAGGCGAATTTGGATTTAATTTAAAACACAGCGTGAATACGAACGCGAAAAGTTTTAAACTGGGTGAAATGCACGGCGAACATTTAGTTCTTGCATCAGGTTTGAATCAAATGAAGGTTGTTAGAGGGATTTTTAAAAACAACTTTTACGGGTGAGGTAATTCTATGAGAAGTTTCATGTCGCCTTTTTTTTATTGTTGTTGTGTTTTTGTGATAAATTGTTAGAAAAAATTGTGGATTGTTAAATTTTTGAAATAAAGCTCCAATTTTTAATGTTACTAAGTTAATAATAAATAAAAAAAAACTTACCCTTTATTAATCAACAATTAATTAGTTCATAATTTCTTAAAATTCGATAAAGTAACAGATGTTATTCAATATTTTTCTTTTTGAGGTTATGGCTTTGTTTATATCCATGTTTTGACGTTTATAATCTTAAAACAACCTTTTTTATCGATTATACTCAACTTCAATAGCTCATTCATAGATGGCATTAAAGAGTACTATTAATTTTAAATATTTCTTAAATTTTGTATTAAAAAACAATAAATAATTAAAATGTTCTCTCCAAAAAGGTTGGAAATTAATGATATCAAAGATTTATAAAATCGTAATGAATTTGACGTTTATCGAAAGTGAGGTTAAGATAAGAAATGTTGTTAAAAGTGTTCTTTACGAAACGATTGCAAATTAAGACATGAATCGTTTTTTAGTTGTTTGAAACTAGATTATAACGAATTTAAAGTTTAAAACAATTTTTGTAAAAAAATATTTAAAAATTACGGATTCGAATTTTTGACGTTTTTAAAAGTGAGGTTAAGATAAAAAATGTTCTTTCAAAAACGGTTGGAGATTAAGTCAAGAAACTTTTTGAAGATATTAAGGAATGATTGAGGTTTGTTTATAACATGTTTTAAGTTTTGAAAATAAACAATTTTAGCAATAAAAATATATCAAAATTTCCGATTTGACGTTTATCGAAAGTGAGGTTAAGATAAGAAATGTTCTCTCAAAAACGGTTAGAAACTAAGTCATGAAACTTTTTGAAGATATTAAGGAAGGATTGAGGTTTGTTTATAACATATTTTAAGTTTTGAAAATAAATAAGTTTAGTAATAAAAATATATCGAAATTTCCGATTTGAATTTGACGTTTATCGAAAGTGAGGTTAAGATAAGAAATGTTCTCTCAAAAGCGATTAGAAACTAAGTTATGAAACTTTCTTTAGATATTAAGGAAGGTTTAACGTTAAGTTATACAATTTTTGACGATTTGGGTGTAAATTGTTACAAGAAGTAACATTTTATCGATAACAATTAACTTTAGCCTTTCTTGTATAGTATAGAGGATTTTTCTTTCATTCTTTATTTTATTAAAGCCAAATAATAACTCTTAAAATATAAGTAACTTCCATAGATACCCTTGAATTAAACAATTAATAAAGTTAATTTAATCAGAAAATACTTCAAAAAAAATGTCATTGAATCAACTTTAATCAAAAAGATCACTTTAGTTTATCACAAATAAAATCCAATATTTCACTAAATCACTAGATATATCGACACCTTCATATCGGAAATTTTAGTATGTTTATGTCAAGTACCGTTAATGTTCCGTTGGCTGTATTTACGGTAATTTTAAGAAGATTTATCGATCGATTTCGAGCTCCACAGGTATCCCTTATTATTAATTATCCAAATGATTTAAAACGACTTGTATATTAAAAATTTCTTATAGCCACATCTTGAAGTAGCTTGCAGAGCAGGAAATTTACTTCATATCTATCCAAATTTAAGACCAGTCGTTTATGTTTACATCATAATATCTTTAGTACGCTGCCTAATTGGAAATGCGGGAAGAGGAACGACGTGCAAATCAATTAAAATTCATCAAAAAGCACAAAAACGAAAAATTAGTTCAAAAAATTTTCCCAAAAACAGATTATCAAAACGTTCAGCTTTATCGTACACTTCATCTTTATGCGAAGATGAAAAATTAGCACCACCACGTCGCCATCATCATCATCATCATCATCATAGTGAAGAGTATAAACGACCTAAAAAACGTTATGATAACAATTTAAGTACGTACAGTTTGAATTCTTATTTTATACCGAAATTAAAAGATGATAAAAAGAATGAATCGATCCCTGATGATGAAACAAGAAGCGAAATCAGTATTAAAACGATTTTAAGCCCGAGGCAAATGATTTCGAGTGAACTTTCGATTAACACAAATACAACGTACATGCGCGGGGATTCACATAAAATTAAGAAGAATGATAATCGAATGATATCGAATAAAAAATCAAGAAATAAATCTGAAATAAATTACTCAATAAATAGAACCGGGAAAATACATTCTCGAAAAAATGTTATACGTAAAAAGAAAGGATGAAAATTAAATGATTCAGAAATATTTAGTTTTTTTTATTTCTGTCAATGTGGAATATAGAAGATGTGCAAAGTAAACAGTGTGATAAATGTTTATTATAGAGCGGCCATAGTTAGGATGATCCCGAGGGAACTGGTGGATGAATCTTAGAGGTGGAGCTTCCGCTCCTTGGACAAATTGCCGCGAGCCAAGATCAAGACCTGGGTACGGGGTGATCAGGAAAGGACGAAACTTTCCTCCACCAAGGTTTTCAATCAAAATCCCAAACCTTAAGAACTCTTCAAACTTCTCAAACTCATTAAAAATTTATTTCAATTTATTTAATATCACCATCGCTTCATTAAAAAAAAAATAATAAATCATTTTATGATTACTATTAATATTTGATAAGTTGAAATAAATCCTGGGAGATATTGAGATTGGGGTGGAATGAAATTTCGTCCGGGAAGTCTCGCAATCCGAGAAGGAGGAGATGGACTCCTGTCCCACGGCAATGAGGACAATCAGTCTCTTCCTTGTTCTTATTTCGGGGGGATATTTGTCTCCTCGGAATCTTGCCCTCTTGCAAACTCGAGCCTCATTTCTACCCTGTTCCTTCCTGTACCGTATTAGTACAAATTGCCACTTGCGCAGACTTCAAAACAGAAACAAGAACACGACAAAATTTTTGGATACAAACAAAGACGAAGACGTGAGAGCTTTGTATTTACGAATCGTATCCCAACCCGACGTCATCATTCCAAGTATGCAACCAATATCGCGATTTGCGTATTGCAATACGAATACTGTGATATTGGTTGCATATTCTACGATAATTGATTAACGTAGTGTAAATATCGAAAAACAACTTTTTACTAATGATAAATTAAAAAAAAAAGTAGTTCATCAGAGTAGCAAATATTTAACGGTTGACTGAAAGTTGGGTCCTCATTTACGGGTTAATTATTTCGTCGTGTTAATTCGGAACGGACGCGCCCCTTAATCGAATAAACGGGTCGACGATAAACAGACGAACGAGTTTGAGGGTAACCGGGCGCGACATACCGCTTTTAATAAGCCTCGCTGTTTTGGAACGCTCCGCCTGTTACTATATTGCTGTTGCTCTTCCTGTTACTGTTTACACCCGTTGCGCTCTCGTCGCGTCGTGTTGCGTCCGTCGTTTCGTCAACACCACCAACCCTGGCCACGCTTTGACAACGATGCACAATTCATAATCGCGGCCAAACAGATCAGAATTAACGCTGACGGACGTCGCGCTTTTGACCGGTTGTTTTTCGGACGGCGTCGTCGGTGCCAATTTGACGATTGAATCGTGAAGCGAATGGTACAGCAAACCGTTCGATCATATCCTCGCTCTTCAATGCCACCGAATGTGATTAAGCAGTCGCTTAGACATCAAGCCTCGCACGTGTCTTCAACGCCCGCGACACGTGTCACAACGACGTCCACCCGTTCCTATCATATCTGATGAACTATTGTTAATAACATGGCGTCAATAAATCCGCCCCGAACAAACCGGGATCGAGTGGATAAAATCCTTTGTAACTTTAGACACTTGTTTGCGTTGTCTCTCTAGTTGTTTCCGATCTGATTCTATCTATTTATAGAAAGGACAAATTGTTCCGTTTTGTCACGTGATGGAATCATATGATCTTTTGGAATTTGATACTTTATATTTAGGGGATAATTATCAATGTGTTTATCAACTTTCTTTCTATATATAGTGATACGGACAAACGGAAGAGAGAAATCATAACACTCTTCTTATCAAGACCAATCAACTCAGTTCATAACGCATATATATATCTACAGGGTGACGCACTAAAGCTTTTTTTGCATAGCTTACAACACCGACTTATGGTACTTGGATAATAAAGAACTCTGACACCAAACTTGATACTCTGAATAACAAAGAATTCAGCAAACTCAAAGCTCATCGTTCTAGCATTGCTGAAATCAGTTCACTCCATGAAGTCTAAACAAAGTAAGAACAAACGATCACCTTGTTATAAACATGTTGTGGTTTCGAGGCTCTGAGAACTGCTTTCAGAGGAGATCGAAATCCCCAAAACGCAACTTGATAACTTTGAAAGAAACCTTTTCTAGTTGGTATGTTATAACTTTTTATGACAAAGCCGATTTTAAAAAGATAAACTGAATTATACTGAATCATTTGGACTCTACTTAACCGATCCCATAAAAGTAAAATCTATTATTATGTCGTTGAATAACACACATACGGTTATGATGAAATTCCAATCTCTGTTCTAAAAAAATGCGTTGAAATTGCAGAAACCTTGAGCAGGGTCATAAACTGCTCTTTCAATTCAGCAGTATTTCCGATGAATCTGAAAAAAACTATAGTAAGACCGATTTATAAGAAAGGAAATAAGTCAGATTAGCGGCCAATTGCACTAATTCCTAACATTGCAAAAGTTTCTGAGGATCCAAGAACCAAATACTTAACCAGTCTCAAAACGGATATAAAAAAGGCAGATCTTGTAACCAGAACAATTTTCCAGTTATTAGAACGAATAATTAATAACAACGATCTTATCAGTTGATGGACCTTACTAAAGCATTTGACAGTGTCCACTATGATATCTTATTGATGAAGTTGGAAGCTGGACTGATTCAGATCTCACTTGTCAGAAAGAGAACAGCGGGTGGTCTCGTATGATCAAACTGGTGCTGAAGTTATTTCAGACTAGATAACGGTTCTGCGAAGTACCACAAGGATCAATATTGGGGCCTTTCCTCTTTATCCTATACATCAATGATCTTCTAGAAGTGATACTAATCCTTTTTGTTGATCACTCCACTGCAGTATTAGATCTAATGTTCAATGGTACAAAACTTACCTGCAAGGAAGAGCTTGTTCATCAGCTTTCATGGAAACAATATATTAACCATCTTACCATGAAGATAAATAAATCGTGTTACGCACTATGGACTATTTCGCGGTTGGTAAGTGTGCATGTGGCTTTAAGTGCATATTACAATTAGGCATATTTTCTCCTTGCCTATCAAGTCTCCTTTATTAGACAGTGCAAGTGTAAAACTAGAACTAACACTATACCTGGAACTAGAATCATTCCGGTTTAGCCGTGCGTCTCTCAAGACGGCTAAACCCGAATGATTCTAGTTCTAGGTCTAGTGTTAGTTCTAGTTTTAATTGTTATTCAGCATTAAGTTAAACGTTTAGGTTAAATATTTCATTACTAACAGTGAGGTACTCAAAATTGAAAAGCTGTCGTTGTAGCCATAGGCTCTCTAGTTCTTAGTATTTTGTTTTAGTGTAAGCAATGAGTTTCTGTCTTTAACTTGGCGAGTCAATTTACGCAAAATATCTTCATCCTTTGTTATCAACAGAGACATAAAGGAGAGAGGTAACGGCCAACCTGAAACAATGCATTGGAACGTATCATATCTCTAAACATTTTCTAAGTGAATTTAAAACTTCCTAGAATGTTTAAGAATGCATAAGATATTTTGAAGTTTCAAAAACGTCAATATTAAAAAATTCGATATGAAGTTTTTATTTACTTTTTTTTTAAAACTAACTTTAAAAAGAGTTACAAATTAATTAAAATCCTAAAAAAGATTTGCTTGTTATGTTTTATTTAATTATTTAAAAAATTGGGGATAAATCTAGGGGATTTTAATGTTACTAGATTTAAGTTGTCTCCAAATTCGTTTTTGACATTTCTAAATGTCATTTTTTGAGAAGAAATTTTTTTAAGATTAATTCAAGTAAAAGATATAAAAAATCATGAAATTTTATGAATTAAATGAAACCTTTTTATGGATTAAATAAATTTGGTAAGGATTTTTTTAAAGAATTTTATTGGTATTATTTGTTTTTGGTTTGATTTTAAAAACGTCAAACAAACATAACCTTAAAATTACTAATTTTATTTTTTATTTTGCTTTTTAGAATTAAAATATACGTTTGGGTGAAAAATGAAGACAAAGAATATTTACGAGGTAAAAAAATAAAATTTGTAGTTATAAATTATAATTGGTGTATACGAATTGTTTAATTAAGAAGACAACTTTTTCAGATCCATAGAGAACCAGAACGAAGATATTCTTGTGTGCGAGGGAGTAGATTGGACGAAGACTATCACACCAAAACGGAGTTGCACAGGGTTGGGTTGTAAGAGAGGGAAAAAGAGCTCCTGGGGTGACACTGGGGAATTCCTTTGGTGCGACCGAGGCCGAGTCGTCCTTCCCATCGTAAATATGGGAGCGAGTAAGCCCGGGGCGAGAGAGCAGCATCGGGACGGGGTCGTCGCGAGCCATACACTGCGGACATAACGGGCCAATCTCCTCGGGGATCGCAAATTGATGTCTGGATATCCAATTATTTAGGGGGGCGCCGGGTACATACGATTCTAATTCAATATTCGGCGCGCGAGCCGCGTTGCGACCACCGACGCCGTTGCTTCTTGATTTTTAAGCGCCGGGACGCCGCGCCGCCTGTTGTCCTGCTATTTCCCTCCAGGACCAACTCGGTCGTGTCATATCCCGTCGAGAACGTGATTCACCCTCGAGAACATCCAACCCGTCTTTTTCACTTTAGAACTAACATATTGATCTCACACTTTTTTTACAACTAACTTTATTTTCTAATCAATACATAAACTTTTAGGTACATAGAAAATAATCAATAAATAATCAATTCAAGAAGTAAATTAAATTGTAATATATCATATTTGTTTTTGTGTTACCTCGATATAACACATTCATGGATGGATGAAATCGATTTGTGTATTTTATAGAATTGTTATTGTTAACCCTCTAAAAACGCAACAAGTCGGGGTCGTAATGTCTGTAGTGACTCAAATCTCGATGAATATTTAGTGTCTAGAGTAGTAAATATAGTGGATCATCTACAGGTGGAATGTAAAGGGGTAGTTATGTTAGGGGTTGAGATGTTTCTTTGGTGAAGAAAGAAAGCGGAAGTGCCGAATTTAATTCGGTCGCGAAAAATTTTAATATTTCCTCCCGTTTGAGGGGTAGCGTCCGCAGGCGACGGTCGTCGTCGCGCGTTTTGCACGAGGCATCGCGACGGCGACGTCACCGATGTTAGCGAATGGGGCGCCGCGCGGGGAAAGCGCGCCGCGACGCCGTTGGTAGAACGGGGGCGATGGTCGGTGGCCACGCCCGCGCAACCCCTGGCCACGGGAAAAACGACCCACCCCTTCGGAGGGCCCGCCGTGTTATTGAATTAAGCTTATCATTTGATTTCGACCCTGCCTGATAGTCGGTCCACTGTTATCGAAACAGCGGGACTTTGAAACTTTTGTGGTTCGAAACGAAAAAATTTCGAGAATTTCGAAAAAATTCGAAATAAAATTTCAAAAGAATCGGTGATCAAAATTCGGGATTACGAGATGGATTACTCCTACTTGAACCAAGCTGGATTCGACTCCAGCTGTCTCCAAGGTGGAATGGATCCAACGGCTCTTGGAAACATGCCGTGTTCTTACGGCGACATAACTTCTTGCAGTCAGATGTCTCAAGCTGCGTATAGATACACCGCCGCGGCTGCAGCCTCCATGTCCAGATCTTACAACCCCACGACCGGATCTTCCATGGGGGTTCATCATCCAGGTGCTACATCCCAATGTGCCGTTATGGGCGCTAGACCCCACGTTCAAGACGTTCACCGAGCGACGATGTTTCCTTCATCGATGAACCTCCAGAGTAAGTTATCAATTTTTGACACTTTCTGATTTGATTACTTTTTAATAAATTTCTTCCGGTTGTTTCTTCGACGCGCCGCGACGCCCGCCGGGTTGAGACTGACGAGTGCCGAAGGCGCGGACGGGTTCTTTTTCTCATTCCGGGGCATTATAAGGCCATAACTCAGTTGTGCCGGCGGTAACAAGGTTACACCTCGACCTTACCAACTACACTTCGGCACGCCGTTACGGTGGCGGCGGAGAAGGAAGGAGGTGGGACCGGCGGGTCCAGGGCGGGGGCGGAAATTAAATAATTTAATAGCCGGCGAAAGTTTATTGTGAATAATCTAGTTTGCCGCGGCTTCCACATCCGGGGGTTTACCACCGACACTTTCTTCTCGCGCCGATCCCTGAAGACATCTTGATAGAGTGGAAGGGGAAACTGTTTCCGATTTCAATTCTAAGGATGGTGATTTTCGACTTATCTCTAAATGAAAATTTAATAAATGCCAAACCGATTTCATGGTGGTAAAACAAAAAAAAAATGAAACGAACGAACAAAATTAAAAACAAAAAACTGTTTTTACCCTCGACGCCCATGATTAATCGGCGCATATAGGTAAATAATTGACCGCGCTTGGTCGTGTGATCGCGTATGCACATAAAATAGGGCCATAATTGTTTCCTCTCGTATTATGACATCCCCCAAAACCACGGTTCGTGTACTATTCATATGTAGATACCGCGCTGGAACCACGATGCGAAAACCGGAAACCAAGCGTCTCGCACACTTACGATGTGGTGAATTTAGTTAGAATGGAATTTATACGATACCGTCGGCTCGATTTAGTTCCGGCCGTTTTAACCATTTTAACGGTAACGCCGTTTTCTTGCAAATTTGCGGTCTCCTCACGTCGTTATCATCGAACGATTAAATTTTCAATTTCTTAATCGACATGAATTATCGGGAAGTCATGGAGGCGGACATTTTTCCTTTCGGTGCGTGCACAGGCGTCGCGACGTTGGAAAAGGGAGCTTTCGACGATCAATATAGGCGTTTCTAAGCTTTCACGACTCTCTCCCTCTTCCTCGAGAAACTTTAAATGGCGGACGAGTCTTGGAGTTAAGGGAACGAAAATTAAAACGTTAACGGAACCAAATTTAATTAAAAATTACATCATACTTGTATTTAACATAATTTCAACCCAAAATTATTATTAAGTTTTATAGAAACGCTTTCGTTATGGTATATTTAATTATATTAATTCAGTATTATTGAGAAAAATAGTCTATAACATCGATTTAATGAATGATGTCAACAATTCCAAATGACGAAGAAAGAGCTCGATGCAAGGTAATGCTTTCCAAAGGCGAAGAGACCAAAATAATTTTTTAGGCACTAATCCCTGCGATTGTGGATTTGATCAGAAATGGTAGAAAAAATCAATGGTTGCGCCAAGATCAGAGGAGAAGCGCACACGACTTCATGAATAAAGACTTCCACAATTAAAATGACAAACTGAATGGGAAAGATGATAAAACTGGGTTTATCCATAAAAGACACCAAATTAATAAAGGAAAAGGATATTACAAAAATGGGATAAAAAGTGCATAAAGTTACAATATAGGGAAAGATTCTTCTTGTCGATCTTGTCGATCTTAGCCTATTTTGAAAGCCATCGCCATTCTGTTTTATTCCACATCTTGCTTCTATAATTGATAATATTGAGGGATATACATACTGTCTCGTTCTAGCTGATACATATATTGTCTTGTCATATTTAGTCTTGGGCACATATTCACACAAAATCTTTCTTTTTTTCTTGTTAGCAATCTGCAGTATTAAGGATTGATATATTTAATATTTTGTTTTTCTTGCCAAAGTGACAGATCTTACTGCTACGCTCTGATGGCTAAGTTTTATTTGCTAGACGTCTTTTTCTCTTGATCTTGTGGTGTTGTTATCCAAAGTAAGTAATAAGTCAAGGTAGAGCCAAGCTGTTCTTACAGGAAGGCTTTCTTTGCAAGTTAAGTTTTTTTTTTACATTTCGCATAACCATTTCGAGTGTCATATTGAAAAGGAAGCATGATAGTATTCATAGTGGACATATTCCTTATTGAAATCCAGAAGTTTTCGAAACTACAATGAAAGAGAAAATCAACAGGTTTGCTGAAGACGTTTCCTAAGAAAATGTAAGATACACAGAAAAATACATCACAACCTAATAATATAAGTCAATTTGACTGGATTATAGAAAGTGATGAAAAAAAATTTGCTGCAGTAACCAGAAAAAAGAAGTCAAAATGATTACTTCCTTAAGAATCAATTTGGATTTAAGGAACGTAGAGGAGCTACAACGGGCTGCGTGCCTTATTAGTTCTTAGGAACTGGTCGAAGAGAAGATAATTATCACTAGACAGTATTATTAGATATATCATTAAACACAAAGTCAGTTGAGTTAGGGTTTTTTGCTCTTAACACAATCAAGTCCAAAAAGAGAGAGAATTCTTAATGTGTTGATGAACATGAATAAAAATTATTCACATTCAAAGAGTCACCACTTTCTTAACTGATGAAATTGATTCTGCCGTTTTTGGAGCCAATTAACCCATTATTTTGTCCATGGTTACAAATTTCTGCTAAAACTTAGCATGAAACATCCAGAAGAATCATTTGAGTTTAGCCGTCTTGAAAGACGTGCGGCTAAATCCGAATGTTTCTAGTTCTAGGTTTTGTAACTAACACAAAACGTGATAGTGCTAGTGCAATACCAGAACTAACACTACAATTAATTACACTTAGGCCCACTTTTACCACTTCCTGATAAATTTATCCGATAGATAAATCCAGTTGTTAGCCAATGAGAGCGCTTAAAACCGCCGTAACCATGGCAACTATCCTCTAGATAGTTTATCAGGAAGATGGTAAAAGTGGGCCTTAATTACATATAAAAATACATACAGTAAATTTCACTTAAAATGCAATATACAAAAATATATTTCCATATTTACTTTGTCCCACATAAAATGCAACATGTCTGAATGTTTCTAGTTCTAGGTCTAATGTTAGTTCTAATGACAGCGGTAGGTAGCGCTAGTTAACATAAGATATCGCTATGTTACATATTTTTATTATACTAAAACTAGAACTATCACTAAAACTAACACAAGACCTAGAACTAGAATCATTCGGGTTTAGCCGTCTTAAGAGACGTGCGGCTAAACCCGAATGTTTCTAGTTCTAAGTCTAGTGTTAGTTCTAGTGACAGTGATAGGTAGCGCTAGTTAACACAAGATATCACTATGTTCCATATTTTTATTGCACTAAAACAAGAACTAATACTAGACCTAGAACTAGAAATATTCGGGTTTAGTCGTCTTGAGAGACGTGCGGCTAAATCCGAATGTTTCTAGTTCTCGGTCTAGTGTTATTTCTAGTATTGCACTAGCACTGTTACTAGAACTAAGATTAGACCCAGAACTAGAAACATTCAGACATGTTGCATTTTATGTAGGACAAAGTAAATATGGAAATATATTTTTGTATATTACATTTTAAGTAAAATTCACTGCATGTATTTTTATATGTAATTAAAAAATGTTGATGTTTTATTCTCTCCCTGGACTAGTTAAACGTTAAAAGAATAACATTAGGGGAATGGGAGTCATCTTTTGGTAGGACGGCGTCCATCGTATCCAATTACAACACCAATCTTTCAAAATCGAAGCTGCACACGCTGCGTCGTGTTGCAGAACCCCACAAGATCATATATCTTGTCGCGTATCTCCAATAAACAGCAACGAACGTATTCCACGTTTCCAAACTTGTTATTGCTGTATTTATTATTCATCCTTATTAAAGTAACGATTAAATATCTTGTTAATCTTAAAATAATTTGTGTGTTTTAGGATATCAAAAATGTTCCTTTTATTTTAAAAGGTAGAAAAGTGTCGAACACCTGCAAATTTGTTTTCGATATAAAATTGTCTCTTCACGGTGCTAAAATCGAAAGAAAATTGCACGGTACGCTTCCCCTTTATTTTCATTCGATTTCGAGCGGGTAAATGTTTGCACCCAAAGCGGCGTCTCGCCCCACAGCGATAGGCCCTTTTTTCTTCACCTTTTTTTTTTACACTTTTCATTTTTAACCGCCACGTTGTCGACGAAATCTCCAGCTTTTCAATTTTACATATCTTCCCGTCCTTTTTACGTCTAAAAGCGGATAATAAATAGCAGCTTTGTCTTCAGTGTCTTGTTATTTTATTCTTTTTTTTTTTCGACACGAATAAAATGAATAACTTTCGAGAATAGAGAAACGTTCTGAAAGCGTCTAACTACAAAGTACACCGGTCGTGGAGGGCAATAATGAAGGTTTGTTTGCTCAAGTCGGTAGCACGTAAAGCACACAAAGATGTGACGGTCCGAAGCCGTTTTCTAGAGAAGAGAGAGAGATGGAGAAAAGGGGAGTCGAACGACGAAGTGGAATCGTTGGGGTAAAAGTGGTGCAGGATAAAACGCGCGGGGGATGAAGAAACGGAGAATTCGGAAGCCCCCGTGGCAGAATTGATGTAAATGCACATTGAATTTTTATCGTCGAGTTTTACTGTCGCAACATGTAGAGTAACTTTATGGTTGAGAGAACTTCTTTTACGGCGCCGGGACGCGAACTCGCCGTGTCTTTCTGCGGCCAAAGAAAGCCCCCCGATATATCGAAACAATATAAATCTTTTATCGCCTGCGAATATTCAATTTAACAGCAAGTCGGATTGGATTCGAGACGATTGCTTCAATTCTTATACGGGATTTTATACAAACTGAATGAAAAATCATCGTTTATTTTATTCCTACATAACAATGATGTTTACATTTAATATTTTCATTAAATTTATTAAATTAAAATTGATTCAATTTCGTTAAATTTCCAGGCGGACTCCCATATAAAGTATATCCGGGACACGACGGAGTCTTGACCGAGAAGAGAAAACAGCGACGCATAAGGACGACGTTTACATCGGCGCAACTGAAGGAGCTCGAGAGGGCTTTCCAAGAGACCCACTATCCCGATATTTACACGAGGGAAGAGATCGCCATGAAAATCGACCTAACGGAAGCCCGGGTACAGGTAAGACATTTTCTTATATCATTTCATCATTTTTTTTTATATACATCAAAATATTATTTTATATTCGCTTGGTTTTTGTCTTTCAACTACAAGTTATATATAAAGCTTTATTGTTTGTGTGTTAAGCGGACACGTGGCGATCATACGCGAATGAGTAGACTTAAATAGACGTGAAAAACGGAACGGATTTACTTCGAGTAGTCAATAGCAGTATAGAGATGGAACGTTTCCGTGAAATCGGTTCATTGTCGGCCCGTTTGTTTTATGAGCGGCGTCAAATCGCTGATAGATGGACGCTGTGCGTCGCCATCCACTTTACTTAATGAGGTGCGTCGCGAAAAATGAACCGAAAAAAGACTTTTTGAGAGAGAGTTGACGCAGCAGGTGACTTATATTGATGAAACGGGGTTGAAATTGTAACACCTGATGCTTGCTTATACGTTATAGAAGTTTTTGATGTTTTATCTTATCATTTTTTTGATTAGTACCAAATTACATACGGTGTATATCAAAACATTATCGTTTACAGTTCAGTTATGTTAGGAAACGAAACTTAACGAAGTTTTACGTTAAATCTCGAAATATTGAAGGCAAGTAGTAAAGTAAGTTTCAAAATCAACATCAGATGTTAAACAAAAAATTCCACCTAATAAAGCGGAAGTTGCTACAATATGATGACCAGTTTCAGGTCAAACAACCTTAATTAGTCAAAAGATCTATAATTTCATCTGATAAAATCGAGTTTGCTTGCAGCTGAGGTGCCACAAAATGTTGACAAGTTGATATAATCTTAATTATGGAGGTTCGACCGCAATCAACCTTGACTTAAATTTGTTGAAAAATCTGCAACCTCATTTGATGAAGCCGATGTTGCTTGCGGCCGAGGGGCTACAAAATTGATGACCAGTTTTAGATAAATATAATCTTAATCACTAGGCCTTGGTCGCAAGCAACATTGGCTTAATTGATCACACGATGTATTTTAATCCAAATCCTTTCTTTCTTGACACCATTGATTTTGCAAATGGATTTTTGGAATAATTTTTGCCAAATTTTTTTTCATTCTCAATTTTTAGTGTTGAAAACTTTTAGCTGAGCGCTTCTGAAATGGCCTCAAAATGCGGGAAACCTTGAATCATTGATATAACACTGTGGAGTAGTCTAAGTTTTTCCTAAAGACACTTCACACACTAATTTCATAGAGATTCCTATATACATACCAGTAGTTAATGTTAGTTCTACTTTTCGTTCAATAAAAATATGCCACAATCTAACGTTGAATAATAATAATTAAAACTAGAACTAATGCTAGACGTAGAACTAGAAACATTTGGGTTTAGCCGCACGTCTCTCAAGACGGCTAAACCCGAATGATTCTAGTTCTAGGTCTAGTATTAGTTCTAGTTTTATGGCAACAAAAATATGCAATGTAGTGTTATCTTATGCTAATTAGCATTAAGTACCACTGTCATTATAACTAACATTAGACCTAGAACTAGAAATATTCGGGTTTAGCCGCACGTCTCTCAAGACGGCTAAACCCGAATGATTCTAGTTCTAGGTCTTGTGTTAGTTCTAGTGATAGTGCTAGTGTAAAACTAGAACTAACACTAGACCTAGAACTAGAAACATTCGGATTTAGCCGCACGTCTCTCAAGACGGCTAAACCCGAATGATTCTAGTTCTAGGTCTTGTGTTAGTTCTAGTGATAGTGCTAGTATAAAACTAGTCTTCAGACGCACCGGTAAACCCGATACTTTCTAGTTCTAGGTGTAGTGTTAGTTGTAGTTTTAGTTCAATAAAAATATGCAATATAGTGATACCCTATGCTACCTAGCACTTCCAACCACTGTCACTAGAACTAACTTAGACCTAGAACTAGAAACATTTAGACATGTTGCATTTCATTCAACCTCACTTGCTGTATCCGATGTCAGGTCAATATAATCTTAATTACTGGACCTCGGCCGCAAGCAACCTCGGCTTAATTGGTCAAAAGATGTAAGGTGTATTTTAATCCAAAATCTTTCTTTCTTGATACCATTGATTTTGCAAATGGATAATTTCTGCGTCATTTTCTTTCATTCCCAATTTATTAGGCAAAATAATTTTTTTGTGTTGAAAACTTTTGGCTGAGTGCTTCTCAAATGGCGTTAAATGCGGAAAACCCTGAGCCATTGATTTAACTATACCAATTTCATAGAAATTCCTATATACTAGTAGTGTTGCCTGCAGTATGCAGCCGCGGTTGGCACTCCGCCACCCAACATGGACTGTATCTTAATTCTTATATCGTGCAAGTTGTGTCAAGCCAAATGAAATCTTCCGCTTTTTTTGACTGTTATTTATGACTGTTAACTGCTGGTTGATAATTATAACAAAATCGTCGATAATCTAGATTTACCTTGTATGTATTGATGATGATTGTGGTTTAGAGGTCTACCTGGCAAACAAATATCCCAAATCTTTCGAGCGTTCTATTTAACGACGTAATCTTACTTACAGTGTTAGAAATAAAGTTCTGCGTAACGTCTTTTTAACGTCTTGGTATTTAGCACTGTGCTAGAAATACAATATTATCGACTGGTGAGGAAATGAGGTTTGCTTTTCCTACAGCATAATCAAAATACTTTTTAATGCTAAAGAAAATGTCTAAATAGAATTATGTATGGCCAATTAAAAATTAAATTAAGAAATCCATATAACACAACCATACAGAAATAACGCGAGAGGGATGGAAAAAAAAAACTTTGGTCCAGTCCGTCCAGATCCTCCACATTGATTAACTATACCTACATTACCGTGTCGTGGGGGCGTAATAATTTATGAGGAGGATCGGTCAGGTATACGGCCCCGCTTTTTCTGGACGTCAGTTTGATAAATGGCGATTTGAATAGTTTACGAGCATCTGCCGGACAATGCGCCGCGGTGCGGGTCCTCCAGTAGAGGGCGTTCGACGCTTGTTCCGCCTGTTCCGCCGTTGCTGTTGTTGTTGTTGCGGCTGTGGCGGCGTGTTTCCCGAAACTGAAGTCTGGCCGCCTGAGACTATTCGGTAACGCGATTAGCCTCGGAAGTGAGTTTCAAGCGTCGCGTTGCCCGGAAGTATCAATACTCACTTCCGGTGCTACCGGATCGGACAGGTATCCGCTTTCTCTCTTTTACTGACAAACGGAGTCTCGCAAAATGGTGGACGCGCCGCGGTGCGTTCAACTAAGTGCTTGGCCATTAGTGAGGGTCGCGAGGGTCGCGACGCCACACATAATCTCTATTGGGCAATTCCGGTTCGAGCCCCAAGTTATATTTTACCTTTTTCCTAGTATGGTTCTATCATGTAAACACAAAAAAACATAAAAACGCCAACTAAAATGTATCAATTTATTTTCCAAATAATACAAATTATAATAGAAATAGTAGTTGGTGTTAGTTCTACTTTTCGTTCTATAAAAATATACCACAATCTAACGTTGAATAACAATTAAAACTAGAACTAACACCAGACTTAGAACTAGAAACATTCGGATTTAGGTGTAGGTCTCTCAAGAAGGCTAAACTCGAATGATTCTAGTTCTAGGTCTTGTGATAGTTTTAGTGATAATGCTAGTGCAATACTAGAATTAACACTAGACCGAGAACTAGAAACATTCGGATTTAGCCGCACGTCTCTCAAGACGGCTAAAGCCGAATGATTCTAGTTCTAGGTCTTGTGTTAGTTCTAGTGATAGTGTAAAACTAGAACTAACACTAGACCTAGAACCAGAAACATTAGAAACACAGCGTCTTCAGACGCACGGCTAAACCCCATATTTTCTAGTTCTAGGTCTAGTGTTAGTTCTAGTTTTAGTTCAATAAAAATATGCAACATAGTGATATCTTATGTTAACTAGCGCTACCAACCATTGTCACTAGAACTAACACTAAACTTAGAACTAGAAACATTCGGGTTTAGTCGCACGTCTCTCAAGACGGCTAAATCTGAATGATTCTCGTTCTAAGTTTAGTGTTAGTTCTAGTGATAGTGCTAGTGCAATACTAGAATTAACACTAGACCGAGAATTAGAAACATTCGGATTTAGCCGCACGTCTCTCAAGAAGGCTAAACTCGAATGATTCTAGTTCTAGGTCTTGTGTTAGTTCTAGTGATAGTTAAAACTAGAACTAACACTAGACCTAGAACTAGAAACATTCGGATTTAGCCGCACGTCTCTCAAGACGGCTAAACCTGAATGATTCTCGTTCTAAGTTTAGTGTTAGTTCTAGTGATGGTGCTAGTACAATACTAGAATTAACACTAGACCGAGAACTAGAAATATTCGGATTTAGCCGCACGTCTCTCAAGACGGCTAAACCCGAATGATTCTAGTTCTAGGTCTTGAGTTAGTTCTAGTGATATTGCTAGTGTAAAACTAGAACTAACACTAGACCTAGAACTAGAAACATTCGGGTTTAGCCGTGCGTCTTTCAAGAAGGCGAAACTCGAATGATTCTAGTTCTAGGTCTTGTGTTAGTTCTAGTGATATTGCTAGTGTAAAACTAGAACTAACACTAGACCTAGAACTAGAAACATTCGGATTTAGCCGCACGTCTCTCAAGACGGCTAAACCCGAATGATTCTAGTTCTAGGACTTGTGTTAGTTCTAGTGATATTGCTAGTGTAAAACTAGAACTAACTAAACTAAAACTAGTTTTAGTTCAATAAAAATATCCAACATAGTCATATCTTATGTTAACTAGCGCTATCAACCACTGTCACTAGAACTAACACTAAACTTAGAACTAGAAACATTCGTGTTTAGCCGCACGTCTCTCAAGACGGCTAAACCTGAATGATTCTCGTTCTAAGTTTAGTGTTAGTTTTAGTGATAGTGCTAGTGCAATACTAGAACTAACACTAAACCTTGAACTAGAAACATTCGGATTTAGCCGCACGTCTCTCAAGACGGCTAAACCCGAATGATTCTAGTTCTAGGTCTTGTGTTAGTTCAAGTGATAATGCTAGTGCA